GCGCAAGGCAGGCAGATGCACTTCAGGCAGGCACACGTAAGACAGGCAGGTGCACTTCAGGCAAAGCGCAAGGCAGGCAGGCTAAAGGCAGGCAGGCGCACCTCAGGCAAGGCGCAAGGCAGACAAGGTGCAAGGCAGGCAAGTGCAATACGGGCGGCGCGCGGCTAGAGCGGACGCGTGACACACGGGCAACGAAGTGCGCAGGGCGCGGCGACAGGCCACTCGAGGGCTGACAGGGCGCAATGCGGGCGGTGCGCTGTCTACGCGCTGGCTGCGCGGGCGGGCTGCGCTGGCTGCGCGGGCGGGCTGTGTTGGCGCGGCGCAGGCTGCGCGGGCTGTCAGAACATCATAGCTTATGCTGTTGTGTAGGCTAAAGTAAGGTATCCCATAGGGGGTACAACCCAATTAGGGTTTCCTATATGTACTCACTTCATTCATAGTTCATCCATTCGCGTTCACTTCTTCACATGGTATCAGAGCAGTAGCCTCACAAGCACCTAGCGCAGCAGTACCAATGCCCGGGTCGGGCGGGAAACACCGGTAACAGTCACCCTTATCACTAATAGTCACAGCATACATGGCAGCAAGGATAGCATCAAAGTCAAGATCAAAGATCGCTTCGCCAGCCCTAGACAGCTCTCCCCAGCGGGGAATCTCACTAGCCTTGGGGAACTGCTGACGCCAAGCGTCCGTCAGGCGGCCAAAGCAATGCTGGGTGGAGTTGGCACCCCCACACTGCTCACCCGCGCGGTCGCCAGAACGAAGAACGTAGGTGCACGGGCCAAGACCCCCACCACGCTGATGCTACGTGTACCACTCACGGAGCTGCTGAGGCGGGGGGATGTCCCGAGACCGCTGCTGCTGCTGGCGCTGACCACCACCAGAGCCGCTCCGCTGCGGGGCACTACCCCGACCGGCTCCACCTCCTCCGCCACCGGCGCCTCCACCTCCGCCACCACCGCCGCCTCCGCTCCCACCGCCGCCGCCGCCACCGCCGCCGCCTCCGCTGCCGCCACCACCACCACCACCCCCACCACCACTCCCACCGCCACCCCCACTCCCTCCGCCACTGCCACTGCCACCTCCACCGCCCCTGCCAGCTCCACCCGCGCCCTTGCCCCCCTTGCCCTTGCCAGGGCGGCGTCTCCCGCTAGGGGCAGACGCCGCGCCGACCGACTCAAGACCAAGCAAGTCGGCAGCAGCAGCAGAGGCAACAGAGGGCAGCAGGGGGGAAGGAGAACACCCCTCAAAGATGGGGGTGCGCGGGTCACCACGAGAGGCTCCTGCAGCGACTATGCTCTTCTCCGCCGCTAGGAGGGCCTTCTCGAGGAGGTCGACAGTGAGGGTGGTGGGACAGACTGAGAGGAAGTGGTCCCTGACTACGCGAAGGGAGTCAGGGAGGCGAGTGACTATGTAATAGAGAGCGATGTACATGGGGGGGGTTCCTGGCGCAGAACTCAGCAGGAAGTGCGGCGCGGTAGCGAGTGTCAGACGTGCGGAGGTGCGTGATGAGGTCAGCGACTGTAGGAAAGGCAGCAAGGTCAGGAAAGAGGTACGGTAGCATGAGGCGGCTTAGTGCAGCAGTGGCAGGGGAAGAGTAGCGCGCAACTACAGCGTCGTACAAGGTCTGAGCACTCTTGTACTGACTAAAGTGCGCGCGCTCAGTGGTAGGCAGGTGGCGACGCACAGCAAGACGTGCAGCAGCATCGCGGGTGGCCCACTGAGAGCGAACAGTGGGGTCAGCATCAGCAGCAAGAGCAGGGGAGGCGCCACAGGTGAGGTCAAAGAGAGAAAGACCGTCCGCCCTATCGCACTGTAAAAACAGCTGCAGGTCGTCGACCCAGACCTCAAAGTCAATGGCTCGACCCTCAGCGTCAAAAGAGAGGACACTAGGGGTAGCCATGACGACAGACTAGCAGTGCAAGCAGTGGGGGAAGGGCACGCAGTAGCAGTGGGGCTGTGCTCACCAGACAGGGCAGGTCGGGCGGCTCGGCAGTAGTGCGGCTCGGCTGCGGGGCGGCTCGGCGGTACTGCGGCTCGGCGGCCCGTTGGCTCGGCGGCTGCTGCTGGGCGGCTCGGCTGTACTGCGGCTCGGCGGCCCGGCGGCTCGGCGGCTGCTGCTGGGCGGCTCGGCTGGACTGCTGCTCGGCGGCCCGGCGGCTCGGCGGCTGCTGCTGGGCGGCTCAGCTGCTCCGGTACCCGGCGGCGTGGCGGGCGGCTGCTCGGGCGGCTCGGCAGGAGGGGAGACCGGCGGGACCGCGAAGGTGTGGGCGGCGGGGCCGTGACGTGAGGGCGGCGGGGCCGCGTAGGAGAAGGCGGCGGGGCCGTGTAGGCACGGGCGGCAAGGCCGCGAAGGTGAGGGCGGCGGGGCCGCGTAGGCACGGGCGGCGAGGCCGCGAAGGTGAGGGCGGCGGGGCCGCGTAGGTGAGGCGGCGGGGCCGCGACGTGAGGGCGGTGGGGCCGCGACGTAAGGGCGGCGAGGCCGCGTAGGTAAGGGCGGCGGGGCCGCGTAGGTAAGGGCGGAGGGGCCGCAAAGTTGAGGGCGGCGGGGCCGCGAAGGTGAGGGTGGCGAGGCCGCGAAGGTGAGGCGGCGGGGCCGCGACGTGAAGGCGGCGGGGCCGCGACGTAAGGGCGGCGGGGCCGCGTAGGTAAGGGCGGCGGGGCCGCGAAGGTGAGGGCGGCGGGGCCGCGTACGTGAGGGCGGCGGGGCCGCTAGGTAAGGGCGGCGGGGCCGCGTAGGTAAGGGCGGCGGGGCCGCGTAGGTAAGGGCGGCGTCACGAGCCGCTAGGGGCGACACGGAGGGTCGCTAAAAAAAAGGAACGCGCGCCTCGGGGCGCGCTTCGGTGGGCCCTAGGAACAGTCCCTAGGAGGGGACCTGCTCTGATTCCATGTGAACTGGCCTTGTGGCCTTGACCTTGTGCTCAGACTGTATGGTGACGTTGTGATCCACCCTGAGCTTGCTTTGCTTTGCTTGACTGGTCTTGTGACCCCTTGTTCTCCCCCACTTTGCCTATGGGGGTGTGTCAGTACATCATAGCTTATGCTGTTGTGTAGGCTATAGTGGGGTATCCCATAGGGGGTACAACCCAGTTACGGTTTCCTATATGTACTCACTTCATTCATAGTTCATCCATTCGCGTTCACTTTTTCACACGGGCGTGCGTGGGGCAGCTGCGGGCCGTGCGTGGGGCCGCGCGGGCTCAGAGAGGGCTGCGCGGGTGACGTGCGGGGCGCGACGCGGCTGGCAGCAGTAGTGCGCGCGCTAAAAAAAAAAGAGCTACGCGCGCGCGCGCAGCCGAGGCGCGCGCGGTCAAGAGACTAGGCACACAGGCAGGCAAGGCAAGCAGGCCGTTGGTAATACGGTAATGGGTGGGCCCTTAATCTTAGGTCCTAAGAACCTGCTCTAGATGCCATGTTAGAATACCTAGGCAAGGATGATTGTGTTAGGTCAAGATGGGTACAAGACTAGAATGTCGAGGGAAATTATGTACCCCCTAAAGCTAGCCCCAATACAGCCTAACTAAACAACAAGTATATAGTTTGACACTTGTGACCATTGTTGCTTGTGCTTAGAATGTGTGGTGACGTTATGATCCACCCTGAGCTTTGTATCATTGTGACTGGTCTTGTGACCGTACACTTTTGGTTTTGTTAGACACCCCTCACTTAGGCTATAGGGGTGTGTCAAATGTTGTAGCCTTAGTGAGGTTTGTCTTAGGGGGTACAGATGTTAGGGTTTGTCATATGTACCACAACCCACATCAATGAACCAACTCTTTCGTTCTTGACAGATAGGTTCACCTGAGTCGGGGCTTACCTGAAGCGGCTTCAGGCAGATAGACGGCGTGCACGAGGATGTGAACAGGGCCCAAAATTGGTTTAGGCCTACCCTTACGAATTAGGGTACCAGCCCCTCCTTAACCAGACCTCTAGGGTAAAAAAATTCATACCCTGTTTTCAGCAGGGTAAATGTACCACTAGCCTGATTTGAGCAGGGTAGTTTTAGGCTAATTCTGTTTTTGTATCTATTTTGTGAGTTAACTTATTTTTAATGATATACACAAGTAGCACATTCAGAGTCCATGAAGTCAACACACGCAACTGGCCGTTTCTTCCACGGGGCGGGCCTTGTTATGGCCAGCAAGGCCGCACTGAGGCTGCAAGTTGTTGTTAAGGACAGCTTGAAGCTGTCCTTGACAGCCAATTCTGTTGTGATGGCGGTGGGCGTGGCGATAAGTGACGAGGATCAATAATTGTTGGCAGTCCTGCGGCAAAAACAACCAATGAGGATTCTTGGCGTGCTGCCAACTACGATGCAAGTTTCCATACGCGTGGGCATGAGCGACAACGGGTGTTTGTGGAGGTGTTGTACGTTTTGTCACCACGCGGACTATGGTCTGATTCGCGTTAGAAAAGATTCGGTAATAGGGTAGTGTACACCAAACCCTGATTCCGCCAGGGTAAGCTAAAAACCTAGCAGGGTAAAATAAAACATGCTCATTTAAGAGAAGGGTAACTAATTCGCAATCCTGATTTCAGGAGGGTAATCCTGAAAAAGCAGCCGCCCCCCAGGGTAATCAGGGTGTTTTACCCTGATATTTTGGGCCCTGGATGTGAATGACTTCTGAGGCGCCTCAAAAGTCGTCTCAGATAGACGACATGGACGTGGCCGTGAATGACTTCTGAGGGCGCCTTGATGGATCATTGAGACAAGCTCATTCTATTGTTGTTGAACTGACAAAAATCACTCCAAGGCATTTAGCATATAACATTAATCATTATGGAGAAGGCAAGCATAGGGTGGTTGCGCAAGCACATGCTACCGTAGCTTTCCCAACACAAGCAAACCACCAAATATTTCCAGCCCACCAATCCTAGAAAGATATAATAAACTAGAACACACAAGAAAACAAGCAAATTCAAAACCCACAACGCGCCCCACCACCACAAGGCCATCCCTGCAAGACACTCGGAATCACTCCAACAGCGGCCAACGCAATCTAGTCATCGCCGTCATTGTCGTCATTGTCCCCGCGTCCCCCCTTCCTCCCTCCCTTCCTGCCTGCACCACTCCCATTGCAGTTTCCAGACCCGCTTCCATTGCAGTTCCCACCACCTCCCCCACCACTCCCTTTCCTGCCCGCACCACTCCCATTGCAGTTTCCAGACCCAGACCCACTTCCGTTGCAGTTCCCGCCTCCCCCACCGCTCCCCCTCAACCCCGCGCCAGCCCCCTTCCCTGCGCCCGCGCCCGTGCGTCCAGCCGCTCCCTGCCGCCCGCCCCCTCCACTCATGCTGCCCGCTCCGCCTGCACCTGCGCCACGACCGCGGCTCTGCTGCTGCTCCGAACCCTGCCGACCAGCACCGCTGCCGCTGCCAGTGCAGCCGCCAGATCGCGAGCACGAGGAGGAACCAGAGGAGCCGGAGCCGTCGCGCTTGCGGTCGCGGTCGCGGTCCTGGTCGCCAGACCCGTCCCTCTTGCGATCCCTCTCCCGGTTGTCCGCCACCACGTACCCCGCACTCTGAATGCTCGCCGCCGCCGCGTTTCTCCCCGACCCTCCGCCCCCGCCGTTGCACGAGCCGGACACGCTGCCGCTGCAGTTTCCGCCGCCCTTCTTGCCTTGTCGCACCTTGCCAGCGCTGTTGCTCCCGCCCAGCTGCCCGCCGCGACCCGCACCCGCGCCAGCGCCGCTCCCCGTTCGTCCCGCTCCGCCTCCGCGCCCGCCTGCGCCGCTTCCGCCCTGCCGGCTGCTGCCCTGCCGGCCGCCGCCGCCGCTGCCTGTGCAGCCGCCGGATTTGCTGCAGGAGCCGTCGCCCTGCTGGCCAGTGCCAGTTTTCTGGCGGCTGCCGCTGCCGCTGCCGGTGCAGCCGCCGGACTTGCTGCAGGAGCCGTCTCTGTCGCGGTCCCTGTCACGATCCTGGTCGCGGTTGCCGGAGCCGTCCCGCTTGCGATCGCGCTTCGGACGGTCGTCGTCGTCGTCTGCGACGGCGAAGGTCGCCAGACTGGCAACGACGAGCAGGAGGATCCCGAGGGCGAGAAGCTTCGACGAAGCCATAATGATGATGGTGGCGATACGCTGGTGGGTGAAACCCTGGCGGAAGGTGTCGACGACGGAAGGGCTGCCTCCGGAACGATTACGGTCGGGAGTGGTACTAGTGGTTGCAGTAGGATCTGCTTGCAGCAGCAGAAGTACGAAGTATCAGCTCGGAATGAATGGTGTAAGAAGGATTAGCTATTAAGACTGGATGAGTAGAAACGGCTCGCTTTCCCGAGGGATGGTGTGATGAGAATCGGGAACGAATTCGGAATCTTTATAGTCGGTACATCTGTCGGGGTGTGGCGCCACCGCCGCCACAGACGCAGCGGAAGATGCGGGAGGGGAGAGCCCAGCGGAGACTCGAGAGTCTGCCGCGGGGAACAACGTATGCGACGTCCAGCGTCGCATTGGGCCCCCCTAGAAAAGTGCGCGCGCGGTGAGAGCTGGTAACCCCGATTCATTCGCATCTTCGGCGAGCGCGCGGCGGGGAGAATGGGAGCGAGAGTGAGAAAAGCTTGCGCCGCGAACGCCGTGGGTGAGGAAGGGGGAAAGGAGGAGAGGACTCGTGGGTCAGAAGCAGAGGGTCTACCGGCGCAGGAAGTTTCCTTAGAAATGACGAGCGGAATGGCTCTGTTCCGCCTCCCCGCGACGTACGCGGATGTTGTGCGCGGTACTTTCCTTGGAAATTGGCTGGTCGGATGGCTCGGCGCGCAAGGAAAAACCTCGGAGGACTGTCATAGAAAGCACAGACGTACGGTAGCATTGCAGTACCGTAACTCCCTAAGATACCATTCAATGGTATGATAGCGTGAGCTGAGCTGGCGCGCGCAACCCTTGTGCTCGCGGGGCGGAGACTGTGGCGCGACGCGATGGGATGGGAGCAGCTAGCTACCTGGTGCGATAGTTTCTGGCGAAGGCTCCTACTGGCCTGTGTCAGGTAGCGCTTTCGGTCGAAGCAGCGGGAGACAGTTGTGTTGGTGAGGCTTCGTTAGAAAACCAGAAAAAAATGTTGCATCGTGAATTCATTTCTTTAGGTAGGAAATAACCCTAATGATAAGATCAGTGAAGTGCTACTGTAATATAAGCATTTGGGGGCTACCATGTAGCAAAGATTTGTGCAATGTTTGTGGGTTCTGTTCCGCTTCTGATGTAATGAGCTGTGGGTTCACTGTCACCATAGATGGTAGATATCAGTTGCGTAGGGCAATAATAGATATGTGTTCCTCTTTGACTTAAACGAAACAAATACAAGAGGACGAATCAAGAACCCCCTTCTACAACAGTCAGAAATTCCCACTTGCCCTTTCAACCCCATCAGGAATTAACTGGGGTTGGGTGGGACAGATTTCAGCTCGCCTTACAAATTCATATCTGGAGGAAGCGCCATCGTTTTCTGGGTGGTGGAGGGTACCTGCGCTTGGGTGGTGGGGGCCTGGGAGGAGGGGGTTTCGGTGGTGGGGGGCTGGGCTTTTTAGGAGGTGGGCTGGGAGGGGGTTTCAGAGGTATGGGAGGTGGTTTGGGAGGAGGAGATGGAGGAGGTTTGGGGGGAGGAGAGGGAGGGGGTCTTGGTGGGGGAGAACTTGTGAGTGATTTCAGTGGTGGGGGGCTTGGGGGTGGTCTAGGGGGAGGGGAGGGTGGAGGCTTAGGGGGAGGGGAGGGCGGAGGCCTAGGGGGAGGGGAGGGCGGAGGCCTAGGGGGAGGGGAGGGCGGAGGCTTAGGGGGAGGGGAGGGAGGGGGCTTACCAGTGGTTGAAGTCTTGGGAGGGGGGGAAGGAGGGCGAGGGGGAGGGCGTGGGGGAGGGGAAGGCGGAGGGGGAGGCTTGGGGGGATTCGGGGGAGGTCGGGGTGGGGGAGATGGGGGCCTGGGGGGACTTGGGGGTGGGCGGGGGGGAGGCGAGGGTTTTGGGGGAGGCCTTGGAGGGTTTGGAGGGGGGCGGGGGGGTGGGCGAGGGGGAGGGGAAGGGGGAGGGTTGGGGGGGGAGGGAGGGGGAGGCATGACAGCCTGGAAGCAGGGGGAGAGGTGGGGGAAGGAGAGGGTCTGATCATAGTAAGAGAAGAAGAGAGTGTAGGAGGGAGAGGAGACAAAGTCAAGAATGTGAGTGGTGTCAGAAGCAGGAGAAGCAGGGGTGGAAGAAGCAGGGGTGGAAGAAGCAGGGGTGGAAGAAGCAGGGGCAGTGGTGGTTGAAGTGGCAGGGGCAGGGGCAGCAGCGGTGGCAGTGGGAGCAGCGGGGGAGGAGGAGAAGGAGGACCAGGTGTTGAAGGGCACGGGCAGCTGAGAGCCGTTGGATCGGAGAGCAGCGGTGAGATTCCAGCAGTGCGACGGCAGCTGCGATGCAAATGACATGTGCGCCCACCCCCCTGCTGCTGCTGGTGCGAGGGCAGACCTGCGAGCATGGCGAGGAACATGGCACGTGGGTTGGTTGGACGAGGAAAGGTTGCTGAAGTTGGGAGATTAACACCACAGGTTTTTTTTTTTGGTTCTGTTTTCTCTCTCTTACTTCTTTTCTCCCCGGTGGTGTGCCCAGCAATCTGCAGGTAAAGTACTGATTAGAAATGACAACCATTCATCACTCCGCTTCTTCACTCACCAGTTTACAGCGACAGTGAGCTTGGCGCGCGTCTCGCTGGTGAAGAGCGGGCGGCCGAGCGTGAGAGCAGCAGAGGGCACGGCGGTTACGGGCAGCACGCGGTTACCAGCGCTGCTGTAGATGGCCTCCGGCTGCTCGTCCCCATCATCGTCCACCAGGAAATCCGGCAGCCCGTCGTCTGTAGGAACAGGTGAGATTGATAAGACAACAGTGGAAGGAGGCAACACAACAATGAGGGAGGATGGTAAGGGATGGTAAGGGATGGCATCGGTTCAGGCCCTGCTCGTCCCCGTCGTCGCCGTCGTCGTCCACCAAGAAATCCAGCAGATCTTCGTCTGAAGGAACGAGTCAGACATAGAAAGGATGGGTTGGGTGAGAAACTCTGTAAGGGTTAGAAACTCTGTAAGGCACCAAGGTGACATCACATGTCAACTCATAACTGACACATGCACATGACTCAGTCTGGTCAGAAACCCTATAAGCTATGGTCTGAAACGTGGCGGTTGGATTAAGCAGGGAAAGATTAGAATAAGATGGGATGGGAGGGGACGGGATGGAATGGGATGGGATAAGATGGGAGGGGGTGTACCTGAAGCAGAGTCGGGTAGGTAGACGACGTGCACGAGGTTGTGAATGTCAACTGACTCGAGAATGGGGGAGAGGCCGGTGAGCGGGGAGGAGGAGGTGGTGGTGGTGGTGGTGGTGACTGTATCGAATGTGCCTGTAAGGCTGGATTCTATGGTCCAGCGCACCATGGCTGTAGCGGAAGGAGGGATGCTTCCCACCTGGGGGCGAGGAGAGGAGAGGAGGGGGAAGAGAGGTCGGGGAGAGGGGGGGAGAGAGGGAAAGGAGAGGGGGGATGGGGCGGGATGAAGGGGTGGGTAAGGATAGGAATAAGCAACTGGTGTGTGTGTGCACGTGCACGCGCATGTGTGTGTGTGTGTGTGTGTGTGTGTGTGTGTGTGTGTGTGTGTGTGTGTGTGTGCACGCGCGTGCGTGTGTGCATGTTTGCACGTCAGCATGTCCACATCAGCATGTCTACGTTAGCATGTCCACAGACGTGCACATCAGCATGTCCACATCAGCATGTCTACGTTAGCATGTCCACGTCAGCATGTCCACACCTTCACGGAGAAGGATGTCGGCTGCGGCTCATTGCCCAGCACTGTCTTGGTGATGTTGAAACTCATGGCGGCACTGCTCGTGTCACCCGTTGTGGTCCCGCCGTTACTTGTGGTTGTAGCGCCCACGTCAGCAGCGGTGGTGATCCTTGCAGCAGTGGTGGTGCCGACAGCAGTGGTGGTGGTGGTGGTGGAAGCAGTGGGCAGCAGTGACTGTGTGGTGATAGCAGCAGCTGTGCCGTGGCCGGCGTTGTAAAAGAGTGCTCCAAGCGTGACTGGCACCGGTGCCTCCACCTTTTATGAGAGAGAAACAGAAAGAGGGATAGAAATCAAAAGAGAGGCACACAAGTCACTGACAACATCCTTGAATCTGTTTTTTGAGCATTCTCAAAAGACACCAGAAACAGCCTTGCCAGTATTCCCACTCGCCCACTCTCCGATGCCCACTCTCCCCATGCGGACCTGAGGAGTGGTGAGGTCGTCTCCTTGCACGTGCCGGGGCACAAAGTAATGCACTTGCAGCTCGGGAGGAGGGGCCACCGTCACTCGCACACTCGTCACCTCCACCAGCTCTCGCACCGCCTCTGCTGGCACCGCCTCTGCTGGCACCGCCTCTGCTGGCACCGCCTCTGCTGGCACCGCCTCTGCTGGCACCGCCTCTGCTGGCACCGCCTCTGCTGGCACCGCCTCTGCTGGCACCGCCTCTGCTGGCACCGCCTCTGCTGGCACCGCCTCTGCTGGCACCGCCTCTGCTGGCGCTGGTGCTGTTGCAGGTGCTGATGCTGGTGGTGATGATGGTGGTGGCGCTGATGTGCCTTCAGCAGCAGCAGAAAGTGATGGCGTTGGTGTCACAGATGCTGATGGGTCTCGCAGTGTGTACTGAAGACTGCCGCCCAGCTGGAAGTTCGTGGGAGCAGCTGAGGCGGCGCAGTCAAGTGGCAGAAACAGCCAATCGATGCTGGCAAAAGCATTTGACAGGATGGTACCTAGAGAAGGGGGGGAAGACAGAGGGGTGGTGATGGGAGAGGTAAAGATGAGGTGGGGGCTTGCTTGCTTGTAGTAACAGCAGTCAAGCAGTCGAGAGGGAAAGTTGAGGTGGGGACTTGCTTGTAGTCACAGCAGTCAAGGAGTTGCAAGCAAATGCAGTCAAACAGTTGTAGCAGCCAACAAATAGTGGCATAAGCATGTTTTGAGACGTCTTAAAACAGACCTGCTTGTAGTCGCAGCAGTCAAGCAATTGTAACAGCCAACAAATAGTGGCATAAGCATTTGGCAGGATAGCAGCTAGAGAGGGAGGGGACGACAAGTGGTGCACCCACCCATGTATTGCCACGCCACTGAGCGACTCACTTGTGCGTGCCAGCCACGTCGTTCGTGAATTGAATTGAATCTTCTGCAGCAGCGGGTCGCTGAAGTCGAAGCAGCGGGAGATGCATGCCTGGCTGCTGTGCTCAGTGGTGCTCACGCATGTATTGCCACGCCGCCGACCAACTCACCTGCGCCAGCCACGTTGTGAATCCTCTGCAGCAGCGGGTCGCTAAAGGCGAAGCAGCGGGAGGCGCATGTGTTGCACCCGTGTGACAATCAACCACCTGTGCCAGTCCCACCTGCCCCAGTCCCGCCCACTCTCACCTGCACCGCTGACGTCGTCAATCCCCTGCAGCAGTGGGTCGCTGAAGACGAAGCAGTGGGAGGCGTCGGTGTCGTTGGGGTAGGTGATGCGTGCCGTTACTGCCACGTCAGCCATGGGTCGATCCTCCATGTTGGACACATACACATGTGCCCGCACCTGCAAAGACGGGAGGGGAAGAAGGGGGGGGTGATTCAGGGGAATAAGGTCAGCAAGACAGTCATGGGTAGGTGATCCAACACCCATGGGGCGATCCCCCATGTTGGACACGTACACGTGTGCTCGCACCTGCAGAGAGGGAGGGGGGGGGGGGGGGGGGGTGGGAGTAAAGGGGGAGGAGTGAGAGGGGGTGGGATCTGAGTGATCAAGCATGGGGCGATCCTCCATGTTGGACAGACACACGTGTGCTCGCACCTGCAAAGTGGGTGGGTGGGGGGGGGGGTGTCACAGAGAGTAAGGCACTTGTAGGTGGCTAATCAAGCAGCCATGGGGCGATCCCCCATGTTGGACACGTACACGTGTGCTCGCACCTGCAGAGAGGGAGGGCGGTAGGGGAGAGGGAGAAGGAGAGAGGGTATGGGCTGGATGGTCAAGCACCCATGGGGCGATCCTCCATGTTGGACAGACATGTGTGCTCGCACCTATTTAAAGGGGAGGGCCGGGCCGGGGGGGAGAGGGAGAAGGAGCGAGGTGTGGGCTGAGTGGTAAAAAACCATGGGGCGAGGCGATCCCCCATGTTGGACAGACACACGTGGGGTTTGTGGGGTTAGGGCAATTAGACATTCATGGTTGGCTATTATACACGGATTGGCCAATCGTTCCATGTTGAATACATACACATGCGCATGCTTTTCTATTCGACTTGACAATCGTCTCATAAGGATTCCCGTGCTGGCGCTGTGATAATAAACTGTTTTTGAGACGTCTCAAAACCAATCGTCTCATCAAGGTGCTTGTGGTGGCGCTGGTGGTTGTGGTTTGGTTGTGTGTTGGCTAGGCTGTGCGACTCACAGCAGGGCGAGAGGCCGAAATTTGACCTTCGAGGCACCTCAAAAGCAGTGCTGGTGGTGGTGGTTGTGAATTGCTCGTGCATTGACTATGCTGTGTGACTCACAGCAGGGCGAGAGGCCGTACTTTGGTGCCGAGAAACAGGCGTCCTTGGAGCCCCTGAAGTGACTTTTGAGTCGACTCAAAAGACACTGTGCCGTGTGACTCACAGCGGGGCGAGAGGCAGTGATCTGATGCCGAGAAACAGGCGTCCTTGGAGCCCCTGGAAGCACGCTGCTGCTGCTGCCTTGGGGAGTGAAATGGAGCTCCACGATGGGCGGTGTCGAGTCGGGGGTGAGCGATGCAAGAGAGACAGATGTGCTGGTGTTGTTGGTGGTGGTGGTGGTGGTTGGAGTGCTGCTGCTGTCGCTGCTGCTGCTGTTGCTGCTGCTGGATGTGGTGCTGCTTGGTTGAGTGGTTGACACGGAAAAAGCACCCAGCTCTGTCTGTTTTGCCGGGTCGAACCGAACTGTGAGCTCTGCAGTCACGTTGGAAGTCTCAAAAAAGGTTCCTGAGAATGGGTGGTTGTGAAAGAACGGAGAAAAAGAAAGTCCTCAAGACGTTTGGCCAAGACATTACCCAATATTAAGGCTCATCGTCTCGTCACAAGGCATTCCCCCCCCACACCCACCTCCCACGAACGCCAGGTCGTGAATGATGTGGCGCTCGTTCGCCCCCCACTGCCACCACCACGTGCCAGCTGTGAATCCGACCGACGCTGACGTGGCGCCGAGGATGGCTGGGATGTCCACGTGGGCAGTGAGCACTGGTACAGCTGGCTTGACCGGCGGTGACGTGGAGGAGGAAGTGGAGGAAGTGGAGGAAGCTGATGACGAATCAGAATAAGTGGCAGAAGCAGAGGAAGCTCCTCCGAGGAACACGCTGAGCGTCTGGGAAGGCCCGTGGTAGGTCATCCAAGCGTGCTGCTGTGTGTTGAGAGGGAAGGCCTGAAGGAAGGGAAGGGAGGAGTGGAGATGGGAGAGAAGAAAGAGATAGACGGGCAATGAGCGAGCATCAGGGCTCCTGGATTGACCGAGGAAGCTTCACCAAGGAACATGCTGAGCGTCTGGGAAGGCCCGTGGTAGGTCACCCAAGCGTGCTGCTGTGTGTTGAGAGGGAAGGCCTGGATGGGGTTGTTGTGGGTTGTGGGCGAGGGTGGGGTGGGTTGAGGTGGGGTGGTGATTTGTTCACATAGCATGCATATTGCCAATGCTGGGTGTTACCTCTTTTCATTACATGCATGCCTGAGGGAAACAACGCACCTCTGGATCTGAAAGTGTCACGCCATACTCAGCGTTAGCGCAGCCGTCTCCCGCCACAACTCCCTTAGAGGAGACAGCTATACAGGGTACAGGGCACAGGCGGAACTCCACTGCCACACTCCTGGCGAACGTCCCATTGGCTGAGCCATATCCGACGGAGCTGCAAGAGGAGAGGTGGGAGAAGCATGGAAGCAAGTGAGGGAAGGAGTGATGGAGCCGGTTCTACAGGGCATGGGGCACAGGCGAAACTCCACTGCCAAAAAATTGCGTTGGTTCTGGCCTTGAAAAATTGCGTTGGTTCTGGCCTTGGTTAATTGCGTTGGCTGGCCTTGAAAAATTGCGTTGATTCTGGCCTTGAAAAATTGCGTTGGTTCAAGCCTTGAAAAATTGCGTTGGTTCTGGCCTTGAAAAATTGCGTTGGTTCTGGCCTTGAAAAATTGCGTTGGTTCTGGCCTTGAAAAATTGCGTTGGTTCTGGCCTTGAAAAAATGCGTTGGTTCTGGCCTTGAAAAATTGCGTTGGTTCTGGCCTTGAAAAATTGCGTTGGTTCTGGCCTTGAAAAATTGCGTTGGTTCTGGCCTTGAAAAATTGCGTTCTTCCTTCTCGTTGTGCCTGCTTTCCTCCTCACCTTGCATTTGCCTTCCCAAGGGCAGTTGTAGCGCCGCTAGTGAGAACAAAGGCAAAGCCGCGGCCCACGCTCTGAATAAACGGAGCAGAAAGAAGGGAACAGGAAGCGTGGAATGGAAGGATTGGAGAGATGAGATGGAGAAATGGAGTCCACTCAAAAAGCCAGCTTGCTGGTGAAATGAGGGTGGGTGCATGTAAGTGAGGATGGCTAGTGAAGCAAGGCAACTTTTCTTAGGATGTCTCACAAACTATTAATAGTTTGGAACATCAGCCTCAAAGAAAGGGCTTTTGGGAATCGTTTTCAGGTTCCTCATTAACTTTTTTTTTTTTTTTTTTTTTTGGGGATTCAGGAACGGCAGTCTCAAAGCGCAAGGAGGGTCAGCCTCCTTTTCAGAATTCTCAAAGTGACTCACCACATTAGCAGCGCAGGCATCAGCAAGGAAGGTGAAGGAGAAGGCGGCTTCAAAGGCGGAGGAGCGGGCGGAGGCGGTGAGGAGGGAGAGGGGCGCGAGGGAGAGCGCAGAGCCGACAGAATCGTACGAGTCGAGCCAGAGCGGGAAGTGCGGCGCCGGGCCGAGCTGCGCGTAGCCGTTGAGGTCAAAGGGGGTGGAGCCGGCGAACCCAGTGCAGTGCAGAGAGGAGGCGGTGGTTTCGCAGGTGGGCGCCTGTGTTGGCTGCGCTGCTGGCAAGAACCCAGGGGACACTGAGGGGTTGGGGTGGGTGGGGGGAGGATGGGCGGGAATTTGGGGCCAAAGCCCGAAGGAGGACAGCACAAAAGGGCTCTCAGAAAGCTGACAGAGAGGGAAAGGGAAGAGCCATTAATGGTGATGTCTGCTGGGCCCAGCAGACATCACCATCAACACTTGACCAATAATTTTCACTGCTTTCTGGTTATTCGTGAGCTGTGAGCTCACCGGTGTTGAAGGAGAAGGAGTGGATGAGGTGGTGGTCGTCTGTGTCGCCACATCCCCACCACCACGTGCCAGCTGTGAATCCCACAGACGCTGACGTGGCACCAATGACTGCCACAAGATCAAGCGACGCCCGCAGCACCGGCTCCTCGGGCTTTAAGCCGTCGCTGCCACCCAGATAGACCTCCAATGACTGGGATGTGCCGTCGTATGCCACCCACGCGTGCTGCCTCTCGCTCAGTGCTATTTTCTGCAAGAGAAGGATAGTGCGCACAGTGTACACATAAGGGGGGAACAGAGTGGTTTCTGAGGCCGACTGGGATGTGCCATCGTATGCCACCCATGCGTACTGCCTCTCGCTCAGAGCTAAGGGCAGAGCAAACACGCACGGATGCTTCACTCCAAAAGATGCGCGTGAGATGCATATTCCACCCATCAACAAAAAACAGAACATTTAGGCCGCAACTTATAACACTAAACCGCAACCCACCGCACTGAACCGCACTTCACCACACTGAAACGACCTGATCGCCCATGAGGCCGATCATGTGGTCGGCAGCAGCGCAGTTGTCGCCTGAAGCCACGCCGTTCACCACCACAGCCACACGAGGTGGGCCCCGACCGCACCTCCACCGCCACACTCCCATTGAACCGCACTTCACCGCACTGAACTGCATATTACTGCACTGAACCGCAATTTACCGCACTAAACCGCAACCCACCGCACTGAAATGCGCTTCACCGCACTGAACCGACCTGATCGCCTGTGAGGCCGGTCATGTGGTCAGCAGCAGCGCAGTTGTCACCTGAAGCCACGCCGTTCACCACCACAGCCACACACGAGGTGGGCCCCGACCGCACCTCCACCGCCACACTCCCATTGAACGCCCCTGGTGCTGCTCCCCCGTACCCTATGGCTCTGAGAGTGGGGTGGGGAAGGTAGAGGAGGGGGGGACGGAGTGATGGAGGGGATAGTGAGGATTGTGAGGTACGGAAGGGATGGCAGTCGCGAGTTGAACTAAATCAACGAAGGACGTGTTTTTTTTTTTTTTTTTTTTTTTTTTTTTGGAATGCTTGTGACTCCACTTCTCTGCAATTCACTCACCCCATGGCACTCGAGCCACAAGCAGTCTTATCCCCGCTGGTGACAACATACGCCAACCCTCTGCTGCCCCAGTAGCCATACGACGTCTCCGTCCACACCGAGAACGCAAACGCCGCCCCATGTCAACCCGAATCCCCTCCCACAAGGCAAGCTAAACCCACCCTTTATCCACCTGACACTCAGTCAGTCGCATCCCATGTTGCTCCCCGCGAGATCCACACATAGCTCAGTGAGCTATGTCTGGATCTCGCAGGTTACACCCACCAGGTATCCACCTGACACTCAGTCAGTCGCATCCCATGTTGCTCCCCGACTCACCCCATCTTGCTCGACCCGCACGCAGTCTTGTCTCCGCTGCTAATGACAAACGTCAGGCCCCTGCTGCCCCGGTAGCCATACGACGTCTCCGTCCACACCGAGAACGCAAATGCCGCCTCAAACGCCACTGCTGCTGTTGCTGTATCTCCTGATGTTTTTCCTGCTGCTGTTGCTGCTGTTTTTCCTGTTCCTCCCCCTGCTGTTGCTGCTGACGTGGACGAATCCAGAGAGAGCGCCAGGTCAGCGAGGGTGAGCGCACTGCCAGCGGTGCCGCCGGTGTCGAGGACGAGGGGGAAGGAGGGGGCGGGCCCCACGTGGGCATAGCCGTTCAGGCGGAAGGCTGAGCGGCCCGCAAAGCCCGAACAGGTGAGACGCGTGTTGGAGGGGGCGAGGTGGCACGTGGTGGGCGCAGGGGAGGGCGGAAGTGACTGCTGGGACCCGGGAGTGACTGCGGAGAGGGCATATAGGAAGGAAGTAGAGGGGGAAGTTTATTCCACAGTCACCTTCCCACTGATTACCAGAACAGCGACACGAATAAGAGACTCATGTTGAGGCGCTTTGGTAAACAAATAATAGAGTTCGCACTGAGAACCAAACAGATGGTAAACAAACGCGAAGACATCATGGATGAGGAAGACCCACAAAATGGTCCCATACGTGCACCTTCCTCCAAGGCAGTCCCTCGTCATAATAATAATAATAATAATAATAATAATAATAATAATAATGAATATAATAATAATAGTAATAACAATAATAACAATTATAATAATAATAATAGCATAACAACAATAATGACAATGACAAAAAAAACAGCTTGGAAGGAGAGGGAGTGGATGAGGTGGTCTTCAAGGTCGTCCACCCACGTCCTCCCCTTCTCCCTTCCTCCCCCCCCCCCATTATATGAATGATACATATCGTACCAGCTTCAAAAGACAGGGAGTGGATGAGGTGGTCTTCAAGGTCGTCCACCCATGTCCACCACGACGCGCCTGTGAAGCCCACCGACAGCCCCGCCGTGCCTCCCAGAACCGCCGCCACATCCATGGGCGCCACCAACACGGGCGCCGAGGGCTTGGTGGCCGCGCCTGGGGAGACAAACACCTGCAGCACGCCACTGCTGCCGTCGTAACTCATCCACATGTGCTGCGGCTCGTTCAGCGTGAACGCCTGGGGGAGTGGGGGAGGGTGAGGTAGTGGAGGAGTGGGGGATGTGGGGAAGTGGGGGATGTGGGGGATGTGGGGAAGTGGGGGATGTGGGGGATGTGGGGAAGTGGGGGATGTGGGGAAGTGGGGGATGTGGGGGATGTGGGGGTTGGTGTGAAACTAATCAGTTGTTTGATTAGTTTACTATTGGTGGGGAAGGAGAGAGTTTAGTTTTACATTTACTATTCTTATGATTTACATTTACTATGGCCTTACCCCAGAATGTGTCACCCGAGCAGCCTTCAACTGAGCATGCACGGCCAAACCAGGCGTTACCTGAACAGGCACTTACTGAGAGGGTCCCACCTGTTCAGGCGGCAGCAGCGCCATCGCATCGGAGTCGGCACAGTTGTCGCCGGCCACCAGCCCGCCCACCACCACCGCCACACACGCCGTCGGCCGAGCCCTCAGCTCCACCGCTATGCTCTTTGCAAAGGACGCGTTGGGGGCCGATCCATACCCGATGTTGCTGGTGGGTAAAGGGAGAGCAGCAAGGGGCAGGATTGAGGGTCCTGTTGATGGGCCGCACTCTCTACTCCAATGCCACCGCTCCCAGCAAAGGGCGCGTTGGGGGCTGCTCCATAGCCAATGTTGCTGGTTGGAAGAGGGGGAAGGGGGGTGGGGGGGGGGGGAAGGGGGGGGTGGATGGGAAGAGGGGGCGGAAGAAGGGAATCAGAGGGAATAGGAACGTGGCAGCAGAGGGAAGAGTCGGGGCCATTGGAGAGACGTGCTGGGAGCTGTGACACGGATCAGTGCTACCACACCCAATCCCTCCCCACCGCTTCTCACCTGGCGGAGCTGCGGCCACAGGCGGTCTTCTCCCCGGCAGTGAGCACAAAGGCCAGCCCTCGACTGCCCCAGCTGTTGTAATCCGCACTTGCTGCAAACGAGAACGAAAACGCCGCCTCAAACGCCACCGGACCACTGCCGAGGCTGAGGCTGAGGCTCGGGATGGAGAAGGCACAGCCGGCAGCATTGGTGGTTGTGTCGAGCCAGATGGGGAAGTTCGGTCCGGGCCCGACCTGAGCATCCCCAGAGAGGACGAAGAAGGGCGAGTAGAGACCGGAAGAAGCAGAGGAGGAAGAGGAGAAGCCAACGCAGGAAATGCTGGTGGCAGTGACGTTGCAGGGGGGAGGGTCAGAAGCAGCTGTGGCAGTGGCAGCAGCAGTGCCGGAAGCAGCATCAAGAGAGGCGATGGAGAAGAGGCCGCCACCAGCAGCAGAGGGGTCTGTGGCTCCAAAGGAAGCTAGTGTTGCACTGCCGCTGTTGGCCAAAGCGAGGAACACGTTCGGTGCTCTCGAGCTTGTTGGTTCGGTCAAGCCTGCCAGGCTGGTGGTTTCAGCTGTGGCAGCAGCAGCATCAGAGGTAGGAACAACAGCAGTGGTGTGAAATTGAAAAGTGAAAGACCGAATTATAACTTGCATTGTTTTCTTTCTACTGGCCACTCCCTCTGCAATCCCAGCTGCAGCCATCTCAGCTTCATCCGTTGCTTCAGTCCCTCCCGTGAACCCCACAAACAGACAACCACCGCCGCCCACCGCCACCTCGCCCCCGCCGCCCGCGCAGCTGCCATCTGGTGCCAAGCCAAGCGCCCGAGCCAGGTCGACAGGCTCGGAGAGCACCGGAGCTGCAGGCTTGGTGGGGGAGGAGCCGCCGAGGAAGAGGCGGAGGGAGGCGAGGGAGGCGTCGTAGTCCACCCAGGCGTGCTGTTGCACCCCCGGGACCAGGAGCTGGGGGGGGGGGGAAGAGAGTGGGGGTAGAAGAGGAACAGACAGTATGGGGTAAGGAATGGGTATAGTGGGAACAAAGGAGGAGTGGGAGGCGTCGTAGTCCACCCAGGCGTGCTGCTGCACCCCCGGGACCAGGAGCTGGGGGGGGGGGAAGAGAGTGGGGGTAGAAGAGGAACAGACAGTATGGGGTAAGGAATGGGTATTGTGGGAACAAAGGAGGAGTGGGAGGCGTCGTAGTCCACCCAGGCGTGCTGCTGCACCCCCGGGACTAGCAGCTGGGGGGGGCGGGGGGGGAAGGGGAAGAAAACGGACAGAAGCGGACGGAAGGGAATGAGGAGAGCATGGAAGGAGGCGTCGTGGTCCCCCCAGGCGTGCTGCTGCACCCCGGGGACTAGGAGCTAAGGGGAAGAGGTAGTGGGGAAGGAGAGGGAAGGGGAATGGGGATGAAGGGGGCGGAGGGGCAGCGTGGGGGAAGGGATTGAGAGAGTAAAAGGATGGGGTGCGAGGGAGGGAGTCGCCATAGTCCACCCAGGCCCACAGAACCCTTAGACCTTAGGGTTCTGTGGGCACAACCCATGGGTTGAGCCCATCCCTCCCCTCCCTCCCTCCACGCCCAACTTACATGGAGTGTTAACCTCCCTCTGTTCCCCACACTCTCAGCTTACATGCGGTGCGTCATGGGACGAGGGGTTGAGAGCCGCCCATCTGCCAGCGCCGCCCGTCTTGCCGCCCAGCAGCACGCCGGCAGAGATGGGCGGGCGGCCGCTTAGTACCACTGCCAGGCTGGCATTGAAGGCGGCGCCGCCATAGCCGGCAAGGCTGGGGGAGGGGAGATAGGGAGGGCCGAAGGGGGGAGGGGGGAGGGAAAGGAAAAGGGGATTGAGAGAGGCGAGGGTTGGGCGGCCGTTCAGCACCACTGCCAGGCTGGCATTGAAGGCGGCCCGCCGTCGCCGGCAAGGTTGGGGGAGGGAGGTGGGGGATGGGGGACGAAAGGAAGGGGAGGAGGAACGGGAAGGGGGGGGCGGGGGGGGGGCGGGAGGAGGGGGTGAAGGGGAAGGGGTAGTCTCATAGGGGTTAACACACGAGTGAGCGAGGGGGAAGAAGCATTTGGGGAAGGTTGTACCTCACCTGTGCGAGATGACTGGGGGAGGTTGTGCCTCACCTAGGCGGGCCGACGGCGGTGTTGGGTCCGCCAGTGATGACGAGCGCAAGCCCCGTTGCCACGTCAGCCTCGTTCTGCCCCTCCAGCTGGAACGTGAAGCGCGCCGAGAACGAGAGCGCCGAGCCTCCACCGCTGAGCGGAGGCGAGAGCGCGGCGGAAGTGAATGCGGAACCCGCGGATCTCCCCTCACTGGCCTCCGCGCTACTTGGGCTACTACCGCCGTCCGACGCACTCAGGACGAGAGCGGCGCTTCCACGGTCCGCGTCCGCAATATAAGCACGGCCGTTCAGAACGAAGGCGCCATCTTCGCCCCCGTCCGTCACGGCAAATCCCTCGGGGCATGACACAGATGACGGCGATAGGGTGCAACCAGGGGAGCTTTTATCTGAGACCAAAACCGCGCCGGCCGTCGCGGCGGCGCCGAGTCGACGTGCTGTGGGTGAGAAATACACGACGAGTAGGAGGAGGGTTGCGAGGCTATCATAGTGGCTCCGATGGATTCGACCGTTACAGCGTTTCCTCCGAACAGTAGAATTCAGAGCGTTGCGGTAACGAGAGAAGAAAGGAAATTCCCCGCGGCACGAGGAGTTCCGCCTGTGTCCCATAGTAAGAGCAATCGTTATCTCCGCCGCAACTCACGGCTGCAGCGCAATGCGTGGCGTGACCTGCGGAGGTAGAATTATCCTCTCTGCATCGTGCTCTGAGGGCGTACATAAATCGAGAGCCATTAAAACTGCGGACGACATCAATCAGTAAACAGAAGGCATTTCCACCAAACCTGGATGCAGCAGGGCATTGCCGCATGTCCCTCATTGCCGAAAGCTTGCAATTTGGTTGTTGAATTGAAAGCCTAGGGTGGCTGGCTGCTCAACAATAATCCAGCCTGTCCAAGCCAGCGCTTCGGGCTGTCAGGCAGGGGAGGTGCCTTCGCGTGGCGGCAAATTTGGCGAAAATATGGACGTTCGCGCTTCAAGTAATGTTACTGGAATTCCTCGTCTATACGTCGCAGATTTTTGCGAGTCAGTTCGTTCAACACGTTTTGCACATTCGGTAACACGGAATCTGGTGACTGACAGCTCACGCAGGTGGGTGAGTGGGTATGCCCAGTGCAAGTTTGCTGCAAACTTGTCGCAGTTTGCCGCAGACTTGTCGCAGCCGCGAAATTTACAGCGAGCATCACGAAAGTGGTGGAATAGAGACATGGAAATGATTGGAATTTCCTGCGCTGCAACAGTGAAGGTTTGTTTGGTCGGAGTCTTGTAGCCGACCATTCGCTCGCTGCACAGGTAATCTTTATACAGCTCACGGTTCCACCTGTTGATTCGCGGTCCGTAACGGTTCGCAGTTTCCATTATTTTTAGAGTTATGAAGTCAAACGTAAACAATTAGCATAGCATCAGCTGCTTCAGAAAATCACTGTTTCCACAACAGACGTGATTCTAAGGAGCACACTGGACTTCGGTTGAAGGATACGCCGAGCCACGTGGCGTTCAAGGGCAGGCGGTGCTCCCTTCCTGTGCTTGTATGGGCCAAACCCAAAGCAGACTCGCGCGGCGCAAGAATGATCCTCTCGACTACAATCGCAGCCGTCGAGTGGGCGTCAAGCCAAACATCGACGTCACAAACACATCTGACATCTCAAGAAACCGCGAATTTCACCACCTCTGACAATCACCAACCAAGCTAGACTGTAGGACCAGATTCCAGAAGCTAAGATTTGCACTTTGTCTGAATTCACAATTTCACAGATTCACACCTTCAGACTCACAGCATTCCGCCATCATTCACAGATTCGTAGGCTCGAGTAAAACATTTTAGCAGGACAGCCATAACCAGCCGATACGTTGGCAAGCAGCGGCCTGGGAATCTGCGACATCATCCTTCGCCGATTTCCTCTCTTCTTGCAACGATCTTTCTTGCCAAGCGTCATGGCGTTTACCATTTCCACTCAGCCTACTACCCCTTACGAGGGACAAAAGCCTGGGACCTCGGGTCTGAGGAAGAAGGTAGCGCTCTTGCTTTGTTCACGCAAAACAAGCTGATAATCCCGACGAATTTTCATCTTATAAGCAAATTCTGGTTGCATTCGTCGTGTTACCAGGTCACGGTCTTCCAACAGCCGAATTACCTGGCGAATTTCGTCCAGGCAACCTTCAATTCGCTTCCCGCTGACAAGATTCAGGGTAAACATGCAATCTATATTCTCTTTCTGATGTCAGTCTCTTTTCCCAACCCTCAGACGTATGGATTGTCAGACTTAGGGACCAAATCTCCGTTTCTTCTTTGGATTACTTCAACCTTTAGAAAACATCAGATGTCCGCTTTTCTGATTCTGACATGATCCAATCTATTTCCTCTCCTGTTCAGGCTGCACTCTCGTGGTATCCGGCGACGGTCGGTACTATTCGAAGGACGCGGTTCAGGTAACGCCGGACTCCGCTCTTACAGACCATCACATCCATTCGCGTACCTTTCGTGTCCTTCAAATTCCTGACCGGTCTGCTGGTATACTGTACTTCTCTGGATCTAGACGACTTGAATCCATGATGGCTTCATGTTGTTATGACTCGAATTCAGAATGACTCGAATTCGTGACTACTTGAGTCCATGACGACGTGATTCTTTGTCGACGCCTTGAATGCATGACAGATCATCGCCAAGCTCGCAGCCGGTAATGGAGTTCGCCGGATCTGGGTGGGTCAGGACAGTCTCCTCTCCACGCCAGCTGTGTCTGGAATCATCCGCGATCGCGTCGGCATCCAGGTAATTCTAGATTCCGGTCGAGAAACCTCTGCAAGCCTATATATTTTTTCGTGAGCTGGGAGTAATTGGTTATGCCTGACAGCACTACCTCCTGTCACCCGGCTGCCTGAAACAGGGGGACAAGGCGTACGGAGCGTTCATCCTCACAGCGAGCCACAACCCCGGTGGGCCGCATGAGGACTTTGGCATCAAGTACAACTGCGAGAACGGAGGGCCGGCTCCCGAAGGCCTGACCAACCAGATCTACCAGCACACCACTACCATCTCCGAGCTCAAGATCGCTGAAGGGCTGCCCGAGGTACGTTAGTTAGCCTCCCTCAATGACCCACCATGAAGTCTGGGGCTTTATGTACATGCATGCGAGCGTAGGCCCAGCTCGCGAAGGCCCAGCTCGCGTAGGCCCAGCTCGCGAAGGCCCAGCTCGCGAAGGCCCAGCTCGCGAAGGCCCAGCTCGCGAAGGCCCAGCTCGCGAAGGCCCAGCTCGCGAAGGCCCAGCTCGCGAAGGCCCAGCTCGCGAAGGCCCAGCTCGCGTAGGCCCAGCTCGCGTAGGCCCAGCTCGCGTAGGCCCAGCTCGCCAAGGCCAGACCAACCAGATCTACCAGCACGCCACAACCGTCTCCGAGCTCAAGATCGCTGAAGGGCTACCCGAGGTACGTTATTGAGGTTCCATTAGACATCCCCCATGAAGTCTTGGGACTAAAGTACAGGTGTGGGAGCGTAGGCTCGCCTCCTGAAGGCCCGACCAACCAGATCTACCAGCACACCACGACCGTCTCCGAGCTCAAAATCGCTGAAGGCCTTCCCGAGGTACGTTCGTGAGTCCCCCTCAAGGACACCCCATGAAGACTGCAACGGCTTTGTCTGACTGAAATAGAAGCATTGTGAACACAAGGCATGCTGAATTCCTCCTGGTGCTCCCTCCTTATGCATTCCTGGCTTCCCGCGGCAGGTGGACATCAGCACCATCGGGGAGTCTGAATGGCCTGCAGTCCTTTGATGGTCTGAATGGCAAGTTCGAGGTGGAGGTGTTCGACTCCACTGTGCTTTGTACCTTATGCGCTTCCTGCATTCTTCTCTTGCCTCTCTCGTGGCCATTGCAGGTGGACATCAGCACCATTGGCCTGCAGTCCTTTGATGGTCCAAATGGCAAGTTCGAGGTGGAGGTGTTCGATTCTGCTGAGGACTACATCAAGCTCATGAAGTCAGTCGCTACTACCATATAATAAGTTTTGTTTTTCTTTTTCTTTCCTTCCTTCCTCTTCAATAATGAACCTAAGAAACTTGCTGAAGACAACATGAGAATGATGACATCAGTCCTCTGTTCTCGTTTCCCCCTTCTGTCGTCCCCTTTGTCGTTAGCTTGCATCCTTTCAATCAATCCTGGGATTTGTTTTTTTCCATTGGTACAGAACTTTGTTCGTTCCATTCAAAACGCAGTGCTTTCCTTCCCTCCTAACGTGATGACATTCGCCTCACACTGCCGTTGCTACTGCTGCTGCCGCAGGACCATCTTCGACTTTGATGCCATCCGGGGGCTCCTCAAGAACCCCAAGTTCGCATTCTTGTACGTCTCTACGCCCTGGCAAGCCATGTTTTTGTCTTGTATTGTCTTTGCCTTCTAAAGCAGAAATTGCTTAGGGACGTTTGTAAGCATCAAAAGAAGACGAGCAAAAGGATCTTGAATTGAACTGATGGCACTTGCATGCTTTCATGTTACTTCATGGGACGAAACGGTGACATCATTCTATTCCCCTGATACCCGAACTCGTATTGTTTACTGTTTCCCTGCTTCTCGCAGGTTGGATGGGCTGCATGGCGTGGCGGGAGCATACGTGGCAAATCTTTTCTAAGTCAACTCACGAGCCATTGTTTCTCTTCGCCTTTTATTGCTTCTTGCATCTCGCAGGTTGGACGGGCTGCACGGCGTGGCGGGAGCATACGCGGAGAAGCTGTTTGTGCGTGAGCTGGGAGTGCCAGCCTCGTCCCTCGTCAACTGCGTGCCAAAGGTACGTCCTGCTTCTTGCTGTATGATCCCACATTTTGCTCCGCACTCCTGCATTCTGCTTGAAACTCTCACCCGCAGTTCCACAATCCCACCCGCTGCCTGACAATCGCACTCCCGTCCTCCCTCCTTAGTAGAAAGATTCTTTTTAGTAGCCACCCCTGTCATGACTCTTCTTCCCTACGGCAGGAGGACTTTAGTGGCGGCCACCCCGACCCCAACCTGGCATATGCACATGACCTGGTGGAGGCAACGGGGCTGGGCAAGCACATATGCCCTCACACTCCCATATCATAACTCTATCTCTATTTCCCGTCGTCTCGCATCTTCCCTATGTCAGGAGGACTTCAGTGGTGGGCACCCCGACCCGACCTGACGTACGCGCATGACCTGGTGGAGGCCATGGGGCTGGGCAAGCACCAATATCACCCCACCTCCCCCTCCCGTTCTCCTCTCCCCACCGCTGCATCCCTTCTTTCAGGAGGACTTCGGAGGCGGCCATCCCGACCCCAACCTGACCTACGCGCATGACCTGGTGGAGGCCATGGGGCTGGGCAAGCACCAGCCCGCTCAGGAGCCGCCTGAATTCGGCGCTGCCTGTGACGGCGATGCTGATCGCAACATGGTTCTGGGCAAAAGGTATGTAACGGTGTGGTGCTTGGGGTCCTCCTCGGTGGCCATCATAGCAGCCAACGCAGTGGCCTGGCCAGAGTCAAAGCTGGTGCATTGCCTGGGAGACGTCTTGGTTCCGTGCATCCATTCCCCTTGATGCTTACCAGCCTCAACATGTTCTTTGTGGCGCCCTCTGACTCGGTTGCTATGCTATCATACCAGCCAATGCCCTGGCCAACATCCCCTGATTCAATAGCTGGCGGATAAGTTAAAAACTGGTGCATTGCCTTGAACTCATCTCAATACCGTCATTGCTGCTTTCGTCTGCCCTGTCCTGCCAGGTTCTTCGTGACGCCGTCTGACTCGGTGGCTATCATAGCAGCCAACGCGGAGGCCAGCATCCCCTACTTCAAGGGCGGGCTCAAGGGCGTGGCCAGGAGCATGCCCACGTCTGCGGCTCTCGATGTTGTCGCCAAGGAACTCGGTCTCAAGTTCTTTGAGGTAGGGATCCCTTTGCACTCCTCTCCACCGCTCTGTAAGTAGCCAGGAGGCCAGCATCCCCGACTTCAAGGGCGGGCTCAAGGGCGTGGCCAGGAGCATGCCCACGTCCACTGCTCTGGATGTTGTCGCCAAGGAGCTCGGTCTCAAGTTCTTTGAGGTAGGTTATTTCTTGCACTCCACGCCTCTGCACTCCTCTCCATCCCTCTGTAAGTCTCCTCGTGTACTTCAAGGGCGGGCTCAAGGGCGTGGCCAGGAGCATGCCCACGTCCGCTGCTCTGGATGTCGTGGCCAAGGAGCTTGGTCTCAAGTTCTTTGAGGTAGGTAGATGCTCTTTGCTGGACTCCTCTCCGTTGCTTTGGAAGTATCCTCGTGTACTTCAAGGGCGTGGCCAGGAGCACGCCCAAGGAGCTGGGATTCAAGTTTTGGGAGAGCCATCTTGTGTACTTGCCCTGTTTGCTTCTGTGATTTCAGGTGCCGACCGGGTGGAAGTTCTTTGGCAACCTCATGGATGCGGGCATGTGCTCTGTGTGCGGTGAAGAGAGCTTTGGCACAGGTGAGGTTTGGTCATGTGATTCGGAAGAGAGCTTCACCAGGAAGATTCGGCAGGCCTGATCTGGCAGAACGAGGGATTTCATTTGCCCTGTCATGACTTATTCTCATGTGCCACTCGTGAGCCAGGAATGCTGATTGGGGATGTGAACGTCGTAATTCCTGGGAGTGCAATCCTCGATCTATGACTCCCCTTTTCGCCTGATGTTATACCTCCAGGATCCGACCATATCATATAGAAGGACGGCATGTGGGCGATTCTAGTGTGCCTCTCTATCCTGGCGAATCGGAACCAAGGCAGCAGGGAAGGGCAGCTGGTGCTGATTATTCTCCCCCTTCCCCCTCACTTTGAACCTCCTGTAACCCCCACTGTGCTGTGCATTGGTTTGCTGTGCGTTGCTCTGTGCTCACCCAGGGTCGGACCACATCAGGGAGAAGGACGGCATGTGGGCTATTCTGGCCTGGCTCTCCATCCTGGCCAACAGGAACAGTGGCAGCAGTGAGGGGCAGCTGGTGACGGTGGAGGAGATTGTGAGACAGCACTGGGCCAAGTATGGCCGGCACTTCTACACCCGATACGACTATGAGGTGAGATGCGGTGAGGTGCGGTGAAAAGCTGTGAGCGGTTCTCCATCCTGGCCAACAGGGACAGCGGCAGCAGTGAAGGGCAGCTGGTGACGGTGGAGGAGATTGTGAGGCAGCACTGGGCCAAATACGGCCGGCACTTCTACACCCGATATGACTATGAGGTATAGACTCTGTGACTGAGCCCTGCTCCTTGACCTTCGACTGCATGCGATGCTGTGGAACCGAAACCCTTGACCTGTGAATCGCTGCCTGAAGAGGGCAGTCCGTGACCGTGGAAGAGACGGTAAGGCAGCACTGTGATTGAAGTAGTGCTTTGAGACGTCTCAAAACACTACTTCAATCACCCGAAACCCTTGACCTGTGGATTGGTGCCTGAAGAGGGCAGTCCGTGACCGTGGAAGAGACTGTAAGGCAGCACTGGGCCTGGTGAAACCCATATCGAGTTGACTTTTGAGTCGACTCAAAAGTCAACTCGAGACTGTAAGGCAGCACTGGGCCTAGTGAAACCCATATCTGTTGTCCACATCAGGGAGAAGGACGGCATGTAAGATAGGAGTCTTTCCAGCGGAGCACAATGATAACTCCCCAGCGAAGCCACCCACATGTCTGTTCTCGCCTGCCTGGCTGATAGGTGCACCTACTCTGCGTCTATTTCCCTTCCTTCGTCCGTGTCTGTCAACCCCATTTCACCCACACTCTTGTTATGCAAACTCCCGTTTTGATCACTTATCACCGCTCCATGTTATCCCCCAATGCCATGTCATGATGGCAGGGAGTGGATGCAGAGGGTGCAAAGAAGCTCATGGCTAATCTTGTCGCCAACCAAGCAGACATCCCTGCACTCAACACGTGCGTTCCTAGCTCATGAGCTCATATCATCTTAACCCCATGATTACGGAGCTTTTCAATCAAAAACGCGCATGATAACTGGCACGTGCATTCATACAATATCGTGTTCTGGCGTTTTCTGGTAGCATAGCAAACGAACGTCCTCTGGTTCTGTTTCCCGTCAATATCTCACTCGATTCCGTTGTTTCCTGCTGCATTGGTGCACTCATTTTCACCCCTCCGTGTTGCATGGGCTGTGAAGGCAGCCAAAAGCACAGCAGCGGACGTGGTGAGGGGAGACGAGTTTGAGTAGAAGGACCCCGTGGATGGCTCTGTGTCTCATGCATCTCTCACTACTCCCTTGTTTCTCTCCTTCCCTCCCCCTTTGTGTCCGCTTCCTTAACAGGGGCCAGGGCTGCGAAGGCGGCCAACAGTGCAGCAGCAGGCGTGGTGAGGGGCGGCGAGTTTGAGTACAAGGGACCTGTGGATGGCTCCGTGTCTTTTGACGCGCCTCAGAAGTCCGTGGGTGGCTCTGTCTTGCTTGCTTGCCCGTCTCACTACTCTCTTCCACCTCATTTCGAACCCCGCTACTCCAGGGCTGTGAAGGCAGCCAACAGTGCAGCAGCGCACGTGGTGAGGGGGGACGAGTTGGAGTACAAGGACCCCGTGGATGGCTCTGTGTCGCTAGCCTGTCTCACTCTTCCACTGTCGCTGCCACTCCTCCACTCACATGGACCCCGACCCTCTTTTTCAACAGGGCTGTGAAGGCAGCGAACAGCGCAGCAGCGGACGTGGTGAGGGGGGACGAGTTTGAGTACAAGGACCCCGTGGATGGTTCCGTGTCCAGCCACCAGGGGATCCGGTTCTTCTTCGCTGATGGCTCCAGACTGGTAACGCCTCGTTCCTTCGTTTAATCCACATCAGTGTGCTCAAAAGCTACGTGTTTATTTTCATGCTTTCTATATATGTTTTTTTCTTTCTTTTCCTTGATCCATACCCCCTCCCCTCCCCCCCCCACTCCCTTCAGATCTTCCTCATGTCGGGTATGGGACCAGTGGGAGTAACCATTAGCTCCGAGGCTGGTGATTGGATCCAGATTTATCTTTCTGTGTTGTCTTGTTTCCCAACCATGAATACTTGCCTCCTCTTCCCCGCAGATCTTCCGCCTGTCGGGCACGGGGTCAGTGGGGGCGACCATCCGTGTGTACATTGAGCAATACGTGGCCGATAGCTCCAAGATTGATGGCAATCCGGCTGATGTGCTTGCTCCCCTGGTGAGTTCATTCGTTTGTTTGTTTTGTTTGCTTGTTCCAAGTCGGGTGATATGGCTGAGTTCTATATGGGTGACTTGGCTGATGTGTGTGCATTTATATGAACAGTTTGAAACGTGGCCTGTCTGTTTTCTAGCATTCATCCATGCCTTTCTGTTTCTTCGTTCACCCTGGTAACTTTTGCGGTATGTAATCCATCCTATCTTCTATCCACCCTGATTCTATTCTCCCTACTCCACATCAGGTTGATGTGGCTATCAAGGTGTCCAAGATTGAGGAATATACTGGCCGTACTGCACCTACCGTTATCACCTAAAACCACACTGGACCAGTCCATTTACTGGAGGTGGTTTGAAAGTGCACCATTCAAGGTTAATCTCATGGCACACTACAATCATGGTACACTACATAAAGGATGCTGAATGCATTATGCATCCATTCACTCCTAGTATACTAGCTTCAAAAGGAGTACTGGCTGAGCGAGTCACTTCATATCCATGTTGTTTGGGTGTCTCTATTGGATATGAGACACAGAGAATCTATAGCATATCCACGTATCCATGTTGTTTGGCTGTGCAAAATAATTTATTTCCTGGAAGCCAATGTAGGGTTCCCATTCAGACAATTTGTCTTGTTTGGTCTGCAGCACCGAACAGTATCGGGCATCGCATGCGCCCTTAGCGCGCTCAGATTCACATTCTGGGGTGGACAGGCTGCATCAGGTTAGCCAGGATGGAGAATGAAGGGCCGAACATTTTACCACCGTACTGTACCGCTGCTTTTCGTTTCCGTCACTTACAAAACCGTCTCTTCACCTGCGTCCCAGATACAACACTTGATTCCACACCGTACCATCTCGACAACGGTCGACTTACGCGTCGCGTTATAGCGCGGCCTGACACAGAAGAATAGCACAGCGATACGAGTGGTAACGGTAATACGATCAAGCAGCTTGCAACGCAGCGTTGTCGCCGTTCACCCTGACGCGTGGTCCTTGCTTTGACGCGTGGATATCCAGCCGTTGATTCGCGTAACATTCACCCAATCCTTGGCTCTGATTCAGCAATACCTTTGTGCTGGTTCACCGGAATATTTTCTCAACCCCACTGTGGGCAATCTTACAGAATCAGAATTATCTCGTTTATATCTGTCCATGGATGTGCGGCCGGAAAATCCGGCGGAAGGAGCGGCGAATTCGGGACCTACTAGCCGGCTGAGCACGTACTTATCGCCGTACTACGTAGTTAATTTCCTCGCCGTGCTCTCCGTTCTCCCGGTGCGGATCGCCGTCGTCTCCGGAGGCTCGTTCTCAAGAGACCTTGCAGTGCTCTACAAATGGGTATGTTCGGTGATTTGAATGGGTGCCTTTGGTTACTCAAATAGGGCAAGTTTTTTGTTTACGAATGCTGACAACCTCCCTTTCTCTCCCTTTCCACCTCTAATCTCTCTCACAGCCGTCACTCGCATTCCCTTTCTCGTCTCCTCCCCTCCAAACTGGTCCATTCATTGCAGGAGCGGCATGTTCTCTTTGGCCTTCTCCTCAGCGCCTCGTACAAGGTGTGTTATCAGCGGTAACGCCTATAAGCAGCAGCACTGCGTCTCTGAAGGTTTTTTTAAACGTTGAATTCCCTCTAATGCCTATTTAGTGCCTCGTACAAGGTGTGTTGTCAGCGTTAACGCCTTTACGCAGCAGCACTGCGTCTCTGAAGATGTTCTAAACGTTGATTGTCTCTTTGGTCGTTTTTGTACAACACAGAAAGTGCACTATCAGCAGCAGCAACGAGTTCTTCGCACAGTGCCTATCAGCAACAGCAGCACTTTGTCTAAGCCCCAAAATGCACTTGTTTGCTGCTTATGGCATGCTTTACTCTGTATGACATGGCATGGCATGGCATGGCATGACATGGCATGGTATGTCATGGCATGGCCATGTGATGTGAGCGCAGTTATGGCGAGCCAACACAGCCGAAGCAGCGTTTTCTTCCATCATGTTCAACACAAAGGCACGTAGCTTCGCCTTCCGTTATCGATTTCCCTTCTCGCCTTCCCATCTGGGGTGTCTCATAAGTCCTTCCCATCTGGGGTGTCTCATAAGTCCTTCCCATCTGGGGTGTCTCATAAGTCCTTCCCATCTGGGGTGTCTCATAAGTCCTTCCCATCTGGGGTGTCTCATAAGTCCTTCCCATCTGGGGTGTCTCATAAGTCCTTCCCATCTGGGGTGTCTCATAAGTCCTTCCCATCTGGGGTGTCTCATAAGTCCTTCCCATCTGGGGTGTCTCATAAGTCCTTCCCATCTGGGGTGTCTCATAAGTCCTTCCCATCTGGGGTGTCTCATAAGTCCTTCCCATCTGGGGTGTCTCATAAGTCCTTCCCATCTGGGGTGTCTCATAAGTCCTTCCCATCTGGGGTGTCTCATAAGTCCTTCCCTTCTCCCTCACGTCTCTCCACGCCTTCCTTGCCTTCCCTGCCGCTCAGGGTAACTGCAAACAAGAACGTGTTCCTTGCCTTGCTTCCCTTGCAATCATTTTGGAGATGCGCGTTTCCCTGCCTTTTGCTAATGCTTGTCTCCTGTCTGTTGCTCTGAGGATCTCAAATATTCAAGTCATCTCAATCATATCCAGCTCCCCCTGTGTTTTTCTGTTTTATAAATACTTGTGTCCCTTCCATTGCCTGCTGTCAATGCTGCAGATGATTCTCGTCGCTCTCTTATGGGCTGTGGATCCCCGCATATGTGTCTGGTACCTCCTTGCATTTACGAGTGAGTGTTTTGAGACATTTCTTGCTGCAGACAATTCTCGTCGTTCTCTTGTGCCTGGTACCTCTCTGCGTTCATGTGTGAGTGTGCAAACACGATGACTTCAGAGTCGACTCGAGATTCTTGTTGATCTCCTGTGTTTCATGTGTGTCATTTGTGCATGTGTATAAGCATTTTACCTTCCCTCTTGCTTCCGCCCTTCAGCATGCGCCTGGAACTCTATTCTTGTCATTCTCACTTTCCTGTCTGCCTTTTCCACATCCCTTCTTTCCTCTGCCTTTCTCCCTCTTTCGCTTGCGCACAATGGAACACTCTTATTTTCACCTTTCATCCACGCCTCCCCCGCCTGTCCCCTTTTTTTCAATCACCTGTGTGTGCAGTGATCTTTCTTCTTTGCCCCCAGCGGTCACCAGCAACCCCATCAGGTCAGTCCGTGGAGAAACGCACACAAGCACGCACGCGCATACACGTTGCACGCACGTACACACAAACGTCATGCGCACGCGCGCGCGTGCACGCACACGCAGAGGCACTTTCCCCTCACCCATACTCACATGCACACAGACACTGGTAGAAACACACACAGAGGCGCACACACTCACACACACTTCCCTTTCTCATTCACCCACTGACCCCTCTCCACCACCCCCCTACTTGTGTTGCCACGTCAGCATCCGATGCCTTTCTTGAGATGATCCCGCGCCAGCTGGAGCTAGTAGCGCCAGTGGAAACTGCCACGCCAGCATCCAACGTGCCATGCCTGGTCATGTTCTATGCCAGCTGGTCTCCCCCCTGCCATCAGCACATGTCTCTCTTTGTTGACATTGCCAACCAGTAAGCCCCCTCATGCCCTCACCCTCTGCCCACGGGTAGGTTTCACTTGACTTTTGAGTCGAGATTTGAGTCGACTCAACCCCCCTCCCCCCCATGCCACCAGCACATGTCTCTCTTTGTTGACATTGCCAACCAGTAAGCCCCTACACCTGCCTTATGAGGCGCCTCAAAAGTCATGTTCTATGCGAGCTGGTCCCCCCCCTGCCATCAGCACATGTCTCTCTTCGTTGACATTGCCAACCATGCCTCTCCCCTAGCTCCCACGCCTGCTCACCCCCTCACCCTCTTGCCCCTCTCCCCGAAGTCATGACTGATGAGTAAGTTATTCTGACTCTTGATTTCAGCCACAAGTCTCTGATTTTCCCCCTTTTGCCACCAGTAAGCCCCCTAGCCCAGTTCATAGCTTCAACGCCCAAGCGTCTTCCTTTGCCCTTCCCTACCTGTTTCCCCAAGGTACGGCCAAGGGCCCCACATTCACTTGGGTTGAGGTGACTTTTGAGTCGACTCAAAAGTCACCTCGTTACCATGGCATACGACACATTTCCCCAAGGTACGGCCAAGGGCCCCACATTCACTTGGGTTGAGGTGACTTTTGAGTCGACTCAAAAGTCACCTCGTTACCATGGCACACGACACATTTCCCCAAGGTACGGCCAAGGGCCCCACATTCACTTGGGTTGAGGTGACTTTTGAGTCGACTCAAAAGTCACCTCGTTACCATGGCACACGACACATTTCCCCAAGGTACGGCCAAGGGCCCCACATTCACTTGGGTTGGTTGGATGTCTCTCGATTCATTGTTATGGATTTCGAGAATTTTCAAAGTGGAAATTCTGTCGTTTCAGCCCCACTCCCCCCCCCTCTTACCTGTTTCCCCAAGGTACAGCCAAGTTCCCCACATTCACTTCGGCCGTTTGGATGTCTCTCAATTCCCTGATGTATTTTTTGAGATTTCTCAGAAGGGAGAACTGTGTCGTCCTTTGCCCTTCCTTCCCTGTTTCTACAAGGTATGGCCAAGGACCCCACATTCACTTTGGCCGCTTGGATGTCTCTCGATTCCCTGACGTGGCCGAAAGATTCTCCATCGATACCAGCAGTGAGTGCTCTCTCTTATATTCCTGACTCGAGGCTCCTTTGCCAGCTGGACGTGTCTCTCAATTCCCTGACGTGGCTGAAAGATTCTCCATCGATACCAGCAGTGAGTGCTCTCACCTATCTGCTTCACTTATGTGCTTCTCTTGTATACTCTTGCCTTGCGGCCCCTTGCGTACACCTGTTCTCTCTGGCTGTTTGGGTGTCTCTCGATCCCCTGATGTGGCCGAGAGGTTCTCCATCGATACTCTCAGTGAGTGCCTTTTGTCAATCATTCCCTTCGTTATTCATTCCTCAGCAGTAGGTTCATTATCATGCTCAGCAGTAGGTTCATTATCATGCTCAGCATCAGGTTCATTATCATGCTCAGCAGTAGGTTCATTATCATGCTCAGCATCAGGTTCATTATCATGCTCATCCACTTGGACAATTTTAATGTCTCTCAACTCCCTTACGAAAATATTACCCATTGTTGCTGGCTGTACGTGCCGTTATTATTTGTTCGCATAGTGAGTCTTCCCAACAGTCGATTTGTATGTTTTTGAATGAAGCTTAACAGCACAGATGCACTCACAAGCTCAGGCCAGTGGTTTCATGGTATCCTTGCCGAAACCCACGTGTTTGAAGAAGCGTTTCGAGACGTCTCAAAACACTTCTTCACTCACAAGCTTAGGCCAGTGCTTTCATGGTATCCTCTCCGAAACCCAGTTTCATCCCCTCTCCTTTTCTCCCTCCCTCTCTCCTCCACCCTCTTTCCCTCCCAGTGTTCTCCTCTCACCTTCCAACCCTCATTCTCTTCCACAATGGCACCGAAGTCAGCCGCCTTCCACCGCTCACCACCGCCTCCAGCACCAGCAGCAACAGGTTCATACCCCGAGCCACGCCTTTCCTTTCCCCGTCTTCTCTGGCACCTGGGCTCTACACACCTCCCCGGCTCACGAGAAGCATGATAGTGGGTGCGTTTCAGCTGGACTTGTGGAGAATGAAGGGTGCTTTAGCGACATGCAAGGCAGAGAAGCAGCAGAAGGGGAGGAAGGAGGGCCAGGCAGAGGGGCAGCAGAAGGGGGAGAAGGAGCAGGAGCAGGAGGAGAAGAAAGAGAGGTAGTCCTAGGTTTGAGTGGCCAGAGTATGAGTGAGCAGAGCTGTAGGCAGCGCAGTAGCAGAGGGGGAGGGAGGAGGCTCAGGCTCGGGCGCAGCAGCAGGCGTAGAAGCAGCGGGCAGAATTAGGAGCAGTCTGTGTTGAGCTTCTGTGTTAGTCTTCAGCATTTCATTTCTTACCGTATCATCCTTTACGCAGCCCAAAGATAGTTTGGCTCAATTGAGTTACTGTAGTTATCAGATTATTGCATGATGTTCAGGCAAACCATTGTCAGGCTGCTCATGACATGTCAACGAATCTTTCGCGGCCTCGAACATGCCTAACAACAATGCGAACGGATCACAGTGGTGCTGTTCGCCAGCAAATCGTTTCTTCAACAAGAAACGATGGCATCAGCATCGCGACCGCATATGGAAACGGGGGCGGAACCCTCCTCCTAGGTTTGGGCGAAATGCCGCCCGAGAAACTACGCGCCCCCGAAAGACGAAATTTCGCAACCGCATCGGGAAGGTCCACCCCCACTTTCCCCTCTGAACAGCAATGCGTGGGCTGTGCCACCGCTGTGCTTTGAAAAACGCGGCATGACGGGGGCATGGCTAGGGAATATCATTTTGCCTGGGGACGAAGATTCGTCACCGCTTCCCGATGCCGTCGAATCGTTAGAATTGGTGCACAAAAGTGGGCGTTCGCCAGACGCCCACTTTGTTTGTTGGTTTGGACAGTTGGTGAGGCTCGGCACTTTTTTCACGGGCTGACCAAGCTGACGGAGGTTAATGAGCTCTAACTGACGGGATCAGGAAGGCGAGACCCACCTTCCTGATCCCGTCGTTATCCCCCCGTTTTTGGATACATTGGTGCTGGCGAACAGCACCACTGCGAAAACCACAATCCGAGTTGCGGTTTCGGTTGGGTTGGGTTGGTTGTAGAGCTGTTGGGCTTCTCCTGAAACTGGTAACCGGCGAAACTAGAAACGTTGACTCCAAAACACATTTGAAACCTATCTAGTTCCCGGAACACGCGGCGACAAACTGGAACACAACCCTTCCTAATCTGTAGCGGCTGCGGTGATGGCGGACCGCCGCCCACCGCTCGACGCCTGGACCGAGACCTCCTAGCTGCTACACCACACGGTGACTTTTGAGTCTGACTCAAAAGTCATCTCGTTACAATGGCGGACCCGCCGCCGCCCACCGCGCGACGCCTGGACCTAGACCTCCTAGCTGCTGCTGCGCCACGTGGACCTCCACACGCGGACGGGTCTGCAGCGCACGTGGCGGCGCAAGATGCGGAGATGGGGGAAGCTATGATGGTGGTATCAGCTGCGCCCGCTGCTCCCGCGGATGGGGTGTCCGCGGCGGTGCGGAACGCGGAGATCCGGCGGGGAATCGCGGCGATCAAGGCGGAGAGCCAGCGCCAGCGGACAGCTGTCGTTCAAGTGCGTGTAGACTGTAGCTGTCCATGTTCTGTAGCTCTAATCAGTCTTGTCGGTGTTGCTGCTGCTGCTGCTGCTGCTGCTGCTGCTGCTGCTGCTGCTGCTGCTGCTGCTGCTGCTAGTGCTGCTGCTGCTAGTGCTGCTGCTGCTGCTGCTGGGAAGGCGTATCCACAACCTCTTGCACTTACGACTTTGTTTCTGCCAATCTACCCAAGCCATTCGTCTCTTTCCTTTTCCCAGGATGTTCTGGCAGAGAATCGGAAAAAACTGCTGGCTATCAAAGCGAAACACATGGCTGCTGCTAGTGCTGCTGCTGGGGGTGTTCCCTGGCCACGTCAGCACGATCATTGTCAGCAGCAGGTAAACGGAGAAGCTGCCTCGAGTTCAGCTAGACGCGCAGGCTCGGGAGCAGGTTCGGGGATGGCAGGTTCGGGTCTGGCGGTCCTGGGAGTTGCTGGTTCGGGCATGGCAGGTCCGGGAGCGGGAGGCTGGGGTGCAATCTCAACAGTACTGAAAGCGAATGGAATGACAGGGGAACGAGCAGGGGGAGAAAGAGCATGGGGCGCGGTAGCAGCAGGAGCAGGAGCAGGGGCAGGGGCAGGAGCAGGGGGGAATGCAGGGGGGAGTGGAGTGGGGAGTGGAGGGGGGATCACGGGAGGGGTTGCAGGAGGGAAGGGTGGTGGTGGTGGTGAGATGGTGGCAGCTCCTCGCACCAATCCCATCAAGATGGCAGCCGTGCAGAACGTTCCTAGCTTCACCACCTGGATCTTCCTTGCCAAGTGAGTCTCGGGAGAAAGGAGGTGTTGTGGTGGGCTGGTTACGGTTCAGATGGGTACTGCTGAGATGGTGGCAGCCCCTCGCAACAATCCCATCAAGATGGCAGCCGTGCAGAACGTGCCTAGCTTCACCACCTGGATCTTCCTTGCCAAGTGAGTCTCGGGAGAAAGGAGGTGTTGTGGTGGGCTGGTTACGGTTCAGATGGGTACTGCTGAGATGGTGGCAGCCCCTTGCAACAATCCCATCAAGATGGCAGCCGTGCAGAACGTCCCTAGCTTCACCACCTGGATCTTCCTTGCCAAGTGAGTCTCGGGAGAAAGGAGGTGTTGTGGTGGGCTGGTTACGGTTCAGATGGGTACTGCTGAGATGGTGGCAGCCCCTTGCAACAATCCCATCAAGATGGCAGCCGTGCAGAACGTCCCTAGCTTCACCACCTGGATCTTCCTTGCCAAGTGAGTTGAGTCTAGAGTGAGAGGGCTGCTGCTGATTGGCCTGGTTGGTCATGATCCTATTTTGGCAGCCGTGCAGAACGTCCCTAGCTTCACCACCTGGATCTTCCTTGCCAAGTGAGTTCTGAGAGAATGGAGGTGACAGTGTGGGCTGGTGGGGGCTGAGCTGATATGGCTGTTGCTGATTGACACAATCCTATCATATCATGTTGCTGGTGCAGAACGTTCCGAGCTCCACCAGACACTAGGTCCCAAGCGCGGACCACACTACACTACAGGAACGAGCAGATTCCAGACGAGCGAGCAATCACTGATGGGAGGATGCTGTGCTACGATGCGGAGAAGGAGGAGACGCCTGCCTGTGTGCAGCGCAGCAAATCTCTCCTTCCCATGTGGCCACCCCTGCACCCGCACACAGGAACGAGCAGATCCCGGATGAGCAGGCATTTGTGGGACGGAGGCGGCTGTGCTACGATGCGGAGAAGGAGGAGACGCCGGTGCGCTGCGAGTCGGAGTGTTCATGCGTTGTTCAGTTGTTCCACTCCTGGTGTTCACACGCACATGGCACAGGAACGAGCAGATCCCAGACGAGAAATCACTGGTGGGAAGGAGGCCCCTATACTACGACGCAGAGAAGGAGACGATTGTGTGCAGCGAGTCAGAGGATGAGGGCCAGCCCAGAAACAGCCATGTGTGATAAGTCGATTTTTGAGTCGACTCAATGATCAACTTTATCACACACGGCTTCGGAGACGACGGTGTGCAGCGAGTCAGTCAGAGGACGAGGCCCCAGCAGCCATCCATGCCTCGCCTTTCACGCCCCCACCCCACCCCACCCCACCTCACACCACAGGAACGAGCAGATCCCAGACGAGCAATCGCTGGTGGGGAGGAGGCGGCTGTACCACGACGCGGAGAACGAGGAGACGACGGTGTGCAGCGAGTCGGAGTGTTCGTGCACTTCACACCCCTTCCTCCATGTGCTCACACCCTTCCAACAGGAACGAGCAGATCCCAGACGAACAGTCACTAGTGGGGAGGAGGCGGTTATACTACGATGCAGAGAAGGAGGAGACGACAGTGTGCAGCGAGTCGGAGGACGAGGGCCAGCCCAGCAGCAGCCAACTCAAAGACTTTAGTGCCGTGCAGGACGCTCTCATATGGTGAGGAGAGAGAATGGGTGGGTGTGGTGATGGGGGGAGAGAGTATGGTGTGTGGGTGGGCGGGTGGGTGCAGCGAGTCGGAGGATGAGGGCCAGCCCAGCAGCAGCCAACTCAAAGACTTCAGTGCCGTGCAGGACGCGCTGATATGGTGAGTGCGCGCATGTAGGGGGGGGATGAGGGACGTTGAGAGAGTGTGCGGTGTGCAGTGAGTCGGAGAATGAGGGCCAGCTCAGCTCAGCAGCAGCCAACTGAAAGACTTCAGTGCTGTGCAGGACGCACTGATATGGTGAGCAGGGAGAGAGTGTGTGTGAGTGTGGATGGATGGAGGGGTGCATATACATGCAGGGGTATGAGGGCCACCAGCCCAGCAGCAGCCAGCTCAAGGACTTCACATTGCCGTGCAGGATGCACTCATATGGTGAGTGCGCCTCACACAACCACACTCCACCGCACCCAAATCCCCGTCCCTCTGCTGTGTCTGGCTGTTCCTTGAGCGTCTTGCTTCGTCCTTCAAATCTCACTCCACCTTACTCCAACGCACTCCACCGCACCCAATCCCTTCCCGCTGCTGCTTCCTGCAGGAGGACCATCCAGCAGCACGGCGATTCTGGGATTGTGATTGAGCATCTCGCTTCATCCTTGAATGCCCAGGCAGAGCAGGTTCACGTAAGTTTCCCTCAGTTCACCTGCTCATTCTTCAGTTGGTGTTTCAGTTTTTTCCGGCGCTCGTTCGAGAGAGCGAGAGAGAGAGAGAGAGAGAGAGAGAGAGAGAGAGAGAGAGAGAGAGAGAGAGAGAGAGAGAGAGAGAGAGAGAGAGAGAGAGATGACAAGGGTGACTTAGCCTTCTCCCTCCTAGCCTCTTCCCCTCCCTTCCCCCGCTATATAATGGCCGCTTGGCCTCTTTCCTAGCTCATCCTTTTTTTCATTTGACCGCAGTCAAGGCAATTTCCTGCTCTCCCCATCCCTCCTTTTTCTTCTCCATGCCGTCCCTGCTGCGACCCCATCCAGATGCGTCACACGGAGCTGAAGGCACAGTACCAGGAGATTCAGGCGTTTCTAGAGAAGGAGAAGAATCAGGATGGGGTTTCTGAGGAGGAGAAAAGAGAAAGTGAGCGTGAAATGGTGCAGGAGGCGGCAGAACCACGAGGGGCACCAGGTGAATCGGCAGCAGGAGGGACAGCAGGAGGGGCAACAACAGCAGGAGTTCAAACAGCAGAGGCACGCGCAGCAGAAGCGCGAGCAGCAGAGGCACACGTGGGAGCAGCAGAGGCAGGAACAGAGGCAGGAACAGATGCAGCAGAGGCAGGAACAGAGGCAGGAACAGATGCAGCAGAGGCAGGAACAGAGGCAGGAACAGATGCACAAGAGGCAGGAACAGATGCAGGAGGGGCAGCTGTGGCAGAAGCAGCAGCTGCGGATGCAGCAGCAGGAGAAGTGTCAGCAGCAAGAAGAGGAGCAGCAGAAACGGCAGGAGCAGGAGCAGGAGCAGCAGGAACAGAAACAGCACTTGATTGTGAGAGTAACAGCGTGGGCATGGAGGTGATTTGGAGGAGTCTCAGGACCGTGCAGTTCCCTCTGGCAACCCCCCCTCATGCCACCTGCTGGTGGCAGCAGGGACACATACACAGTGATGCGCTACGGCAGGAGCAGGGTTTTGAGTTGACTCAAAACACGGCACACGTACACAGTGATGCGCTACGGCAGGAGCAGGAGCAGCAGGGAGAGGCTCTAGAGCAGCAGCAGTCAATGCGACAGCAGCAGCTAACACAGCAGCAACAGTTGTCCCTGCAGCAACAGTTGCCACAGCAGCAGGGCACACAGCAGCAGGAGTCAACTGCAGGGGAGGCACGTCCAAGAGGAGAGGAGCAGCAGGTCGGCGATCCTATGCCAGTGGAAGGGAGAGAGGAATTGAGTCGAATGCAAGTGGACGGGGAAAAGGGTGCTTGTCCTATGCAAGTGGATAGGGGCGAGCGAAGAACTGCGGATGAGAAAGGAAGACCAGTGTTGCTGGCAGCAGTTGAACGGCTGTCGATCTCAACAACAAATACACCGGCTGAAGAAGCAGCAGCAGCAGCAGCAGCAGCAGCAGCAGGTGCAGCAGCAGCAGTAGGAGAAGAAGCAGCAGCAGCCGCAACAGGAGCCCCTGATGCTGATGCCACTGCTGGTGCTGTCCCTGATGCTGATGCCACTGCTGGTGTTTCCACTGATGCGGCTGATACATCTGGTGCTGCCGCTAGTGTTACAACTGGCTCAGGCCAAGACACAAACATGAGTGGTCCGGGATCTTCCGCTCCTCGCACTTCTCACACTGGCACTTGTGCTGCAATCTCTGCTGCAAATCTTGTTCCTGATTCCACTGTTGCCGATCCTAGTCTGAGTGAAACGACTGGTTCAGGCTCAGGTGGAGTGTGTGAGAGCACGAGGCAGGTGCTGCTGGGGCAGTTTGAGGACTTGGAGGGAGCCATGGACTCGTGGGACCACCTCTTCTGCCGCAGATGCCTCGTGAGTGAGAGAGTGAGGGAGGGAGGGAGGGAGTGATTGAGGGAGTGAGTGAGGGAGAGAGAGTGAGGGAGTGTGTGAGAGCACGAGGCAGGTGCTCCTGGTTCAGTTTGAGGACTTGAAGGGAGCCATGGACTCGTGGGACCACCTCTTCTGCCGCAGATGCCTCGTGAGTCTGTGAGAGTGAGTGAGTGAGCGAGGGAGTGAGTGAGGGAGGGAGCAAGTGATGGAGTGAGTAATTGAGTGGAGCGGTTCTTTTTTCTATCCAGTGCATACATGCCCTATCCCATCATTTTTGAGACTTCTCAAAAGTAACCTCTACACACGTGGCTTCTTTTTTCTATCCAGTGCATTCATGCCCTATCCCATCATTCATGCCCTATCCCATCATTCATCCAATACAAACGAGCCCTCTCACCATCCCTTTTCCTCCCCGTCTCTTTCTCGCTCCAATATTTGGTGACACGGCGCATGAAGTGAAAGTGGCCTTTTGAATCGGCCTAAACTCCGCCCTCCCCCCTCACCCCCCTCCCCCTCCTCTCTCCCCTTTCGATTTCTTCCACCTTTCTCGGGCAGATCTTTGATTGCAAGAAACACACAACCGTCGATGAGCATGTGGTGCCTTTGAGTTGAAATGCATTCCCCCCCCCCCCCCCCCCCCCCCCCCTCTGCCCTTCTAACCCCCCCACCCTCGTACTTCCCTCCTCCTTGTCATGCAGATCTTTGATTGCAAGACACATGGAACCGTCGACGAGCCAGTGGTGCCTGTGAGTTGATTCTGGGTCGACTTGAGTTGACTTTTGAGTCAGCTTATGAGTTGACGTTTGAGTCAAATGTTGGTCGACGCAAGGAAAGGGTTGCATTGCAAAGACACACGAAACTGGCGACGAGCCGAGCCGGTGGTGCCTGCCTGTGAGTTGAGTTGAATCTCATCGGACTTGATTTGAGATGACTTCTAAGTCAGAGTATGAGTCAGTCAACTCGAAAAAAGATAGCAAGGCACATGGAAGGAACCGTTGACGAGCCTGTGGTGCCTGTGATGCGAGTCAATTCAAATTCAATTTTTGTGGTTAGCCAAAAAGAAGGAAAGAAAAAAGTGAGAAAAAAAAGTGGTGTTGCTTGCGAATCAATCTCTCTGCTGATGCCACTGCGTTGTTTTCATCTTCCTCTCCTCACCGCCTGCTAACTACCTGCTTTAGGGTCGACAACAGGCCAGGCCGTTCTCACGCCAGGCCAGGCCGTTCTCACGCCACGCCATGTGTCTTGACACATTCATTCTGTTGCGCCCTCTGCGTTTCTTCTCCCCCCCCACCCCCCACCCACCCCTCTTTCCCCTCTTTCCCGCTCCCCCGCCTTGCAGTCGGATCAGCAACCCCCTGTGGAATCTACTGACGTTGGCAAGTCACCCATGCCTGCTGGGCCTTGCGGCCCCTTGTGCTTCATGCATGTAAGTCCCCGACCCTCAGTTTTCCTGGGCAGGCAGCTTGCGTGTAACTGCCGTGTACGATTTTTCTTTCTTTCTTTTGTTCGTTCTTTCTTTTTTCTTTCTTTCTTACTTTCTTTCTTTTTTTCATTGAAAATCAGAAAGTATGGTATAGATAGGTTAATTGCTGGAGCCGGCCCGTTTGGCGGCAAAACTGGCTTGAATTCAAGCAGTAGAGGAGAGGAAAACACTGCATAAACGAAGGGAAAAGGGCAATCAGTAGGGCAGGGCAGGGCCCATGTATGTATCCGTCTCTCTGCTCCCCTCTTACCATTGACCTTGGCCTTCGCCTTGGCGCTGTAGGTTCCTTCTCTTGTGGCGTTTTGAAGCCGCCTCAAATGCAAGCAGCTAAGGAGAAAGCAGCGAAAACCAAGGGAAATGGCAAGCAGTAGAATTGGGAAAGGGGTGAACTCAGCCTGTTTCCCCCTCTCCGCTTTTACCCTTGGCCCTGGCCTTGGCTTTGGCTTTGGCCATGTTGCAGGTTCCTGCTCTTGTGGCACTGAAGCTTACTCGAGTGCAAGCAGCAGAGAAGAAAGCAGCAAAAACCAAGGCAAAAGGCAAGAAAAAGGGGAAGCAGATTGTTGGTTTGGTGAAATTGGAGGATGAGGAGGAGGAAGCAGAGGAATTGGAGGAAGAGGAGGAGGAGGAGGTTGAATTATTGGACAGTGTTGCTGGGGAGGAGAGTGCGGAGGAGGAGGAGGAGGAGGAGGAGGAGGAGGAGGAGGAGGAGGAGGAGGAGGAGGAGGAGGAGGAGGAGGAGGAGGAGGAGGAGGAGGAGGAGGAGGAGGAGGAGGAGGGAGGGGAGGAGAATGCGGAAGAAGAAGAGGAGACAATGGAGGAGGAGGAGGGTGAAGAGGTGGAGGAGGGAGGCAAGGAGGTAAAGAGCGTGAAGGAAGAGGAGATGGGCAAGGAGGAAGAGGAGGAACAAGAGGAGGGAAAGGAAGGAAGGTTATACACAGGGGAAGGGGCTGGGGAGGGAAGTAGCCAGGGCGTGGGGAGGGGTGGTAAGAAGGGGAGCGGAGGAAGAGGAAAGGGCCAAGGACGTGGGAGGGCGGGGGGGGGAGGAAGTGGAAGGGGAAGAGGAGTGAGATGGCGTGAGGGAGAAGGAGGTGAGAGGAGGAGAGGAAAGGGGGAAAAGGAGGAGGGTGAGAGGAGGAGAGGGAAGGGGGAAAAGGAGGAGGGTGAGAAGGGAAAGCGGGAGAGAGAAGGTAGCCCATCGGTTTTGGAGATTAGCTCGGAAGAGGAGGGTGATGCTAGTGATGGGGAGGCTTGTACGGGGGATGAGGCGGAAGGAGGTGATGTAAGGATGACTGCTGATGTGGAAGGTGATGGGGATAGGGGCTGTGAGCGGGAAAATGGAGAGGAGAAAGAGGCAATAGAAGGCAAAGAGCGGGTGAGTAATCTGGAAGAAGGGGAGGATGTGAAGGAGGGAAGAGAAGTGATGGAAGAAGAGGAAGGGAGGGAAGGGATGGAAGGGACGCAAGGAAAGGAAGGGATGGAAGAGGAGGAAGGGAGGGAAGGGATGGAAGGGACGCAAGGAAAGGACGGGAGAAGCAAGGAGAAGCAGCAGCAGCAGCAGCAGCAGCAGCAGCAGCAGCAGCAGCAGCAGCAGCAGCAGCAGCAGCAGGAGCAGCGGGAGCAGCAGGAGGAGCAGGAGAAGGAGCAGCATTGCGATCAGCAGGAGTGGACTGCGTTGGAGAGGGAATTACTGAGCAAGGGCGTGCGGATATTCGGTGCGAACAGCTGTGTGCTGGCACGCACAGTGCTGTCTCACCTCAAGACGTGCTCCCAGATCGCACACTGCTTGTTGGGGCAGGAGGGGGGCGACATGCATGAAGAGACACCCACCCCGGTACTACCTACCTTCCCACTTAGCCACCTACCTATCTACCTACCTACCCTCATGCCAAATCTGTCTCCCTCTTGTTAGGAGGACGACTCACACTTGGCAGCTGTGAGTTGGGCAATCAGTCGCCTCACAGCCGACTTTCGAGTCGACTCAAAAGTCAGCTCAATCTGTCTCCCTCTTGTTATGACGACTCACACCTGGCAGCTGTGAGTTGGGCAATCAGTCGCCTCACAGCCAGCCTGGCAGCCTTCCTCCCCCCCACGCCTCCTTATCCCCACCCCTCCTTCCTCTTCCTCGCACACTCTAGATGGGTCGGCATTGCTGCCGCGCTGCCAAGGCGAGGAGGAGGCTGGTGCAGTGCAGGCGCAGAGCAACTTTTGAGGAGGCTGGTGCAGTGCAGGCGCAGAGCAACTTTTGAGTCGACTCAAAAGTCACCGCGTTGCTGCTGCACTGCCAAGGCGAGGAGGAGGCTGGTGCAGGCGCAGAGCAGAGGCGAGGAGGCGAGAAGGCGGTTGGTTGGTGCAGTGCAGGCGCAGAGCAGAGGCGAGGAGGTCGTTTTTGAGGCGCCTCAAAAAGGAGGAGGCTGGTGCAGGTGCAGGTGCAGAGCAGAGGCGAGGAGGCATGGCTGCATTTCCTCCTTTCATCTCATCTCATGCAACCCACTCCGCCTCCTCCCCTCTCCCATGCAATCCAGACGGGTCGCCATCGCCGCCGCACGGCCAAGGCAAGGCGGAGGCTGGTGCAGGCACAGTGGGGGTACAACAAGGGGCGCCGGAAGGGAGGAGCAGGGCAACCCGTGGTGGTGCAAAGGCTCAAGGCAGAGGCCTCGAAAGAGGTAAGGGGCATGAAGGGGCAGGCATGGGGCAGGAAAGGGCAGGAGTGAAGGGGGGGGCAGTGCCAAGGCGAGAAGGCGGCTGGTGCAGGCACAGTGGGGGTACAAGTTACAACAAGGGGCGGCGGAAGGGAGGGGCAGGGCAGCCCGTGGTGGTGCAGAGGCTCAAGGCAGAGGCCTCGAAAGAGGTAAGGGGCATGAAGGGGCATGAAGGGGCAGGCATGGGGCAGGGCAGCCCGTGGTGGTGCAGAGGCTGAAAGCAGAAGCATCTAAGAGGAAGTGAGGATGCAGGAAGGGAGGGCCGTGTCAAGGCACGGAGGAGGCACAGCCAAGGTAAGGAGAAGGCTGGTGCAGGCACAGCGGGGGTACAACAAAGGGTGCCGGAAGGGGAGTCTGGACAACCCATGGTGGTGCAGAGATTTAAAGCCGAAGCATCCAAGGAGGTATACAACAAGTGCAAGGGATACGGCAAGTGTTTGCTGCCTGCCCTTTGCAGTGTTGGTGCAGAGGAAAAAGACAGGAGGGAAGGGTGGGAGGAAGGGAGGGAGGGAGGGAGCAGCAGGGGGCGCACTGGCTGGCTGGCAGTGCCAAGGCAATCACGAGGCTGGTGCCATGCAGCTGCAAGCACCCTCTTGCCATGCAGCTGCAAGCACCCTCTTGCCATGCAGCTGCAAGCACCCTCTTGCCATGCAGCTGCAAGCACCCTCTTGCCATGCAGCTGCAAGCACCCTCTTGCCATGCAGCTGCAAGCACCCTCTTGCCATGCAGCTGCAAGCACCCTCTTGCCATGCAGCTGCAAGCACCCTCTTGCCATGTAGCTGCAAGCACCCTCTTGCCGGCCTCCTCACTTGAAGCCATTTCCATCGATCGACTTCCCTCCCCTATCTCTCTTCCCTTCCTCCCTCCCTCCCCTCCCCCACTACCCCTCCCTCTCAAACACCTCAGCGTCAGTACGAGCCCTGCAGTTCAGTTTTAAGGTGTTTGAGCAAGTGCCCTGGGTGTTTGAGCAAGTGCCCTGGGTGTTTGAGCAAGTGCCCTGGGTGTTTGAGCAAGTGCCCTGCAGGGCTCGTACTGACGCTGCAGGTGCCCTCAAAACTAGACACCTCAGCTTCAGTACGAGCCCTGCAGCTGCAAGCGCCCATGCGCCAAGTGCACCTGTGAATGCATCAGATTTTCTCATCACCACCACATCTCTGTCCCTCTCTCAGTGTCAGTACGAGCCCTGCAGCTGCAAGGGGCCATGCGCCAAGTGCACCTGTGAATGTGAATGTGAACATTTCTTACCACCACTCCTCCTCTTCCCCTTCCCCCCGCCTCCCTTTCCCCCTCTCCCTCTCAAATGCCTCAGCGTCAGTACGAGCCATGCAGCTGCAAAGGGCCATGCGCCAAGGCCACATGTGAATGCATCATGAGGGGTTGCTTCTGCGAGAAATACTGCGGGTGAGCGTTTCGAGAGATATCAAAAGCCTTCTATGCCTAAAAGAAATCAAAGCCTCGCTTGCCCTTCTATCCATCCTGTCTGTCTGTTTTGTATCTTCACGTACCTTCTCTCTCTCACTCACTCACTCCTGCCCCGTCCTTTCACACATGTCCTCTTCTTTCGTGCCTCCCCGTTGATCCGCTTCCTCACCTGGCTTGTGTGCCGTTTTTTAGTCGACTCAAAAACTGAGTAAACTAAAAACATGACTCCTTTCACACATGTCCTCTTCCGTGCCTCTCACACATGTCCTCTTCCGTGCCTCTCACACATGTCCTCTTCCGTGCCTCTCACACATGTCCTCTTCCGTGCCTCTCACACATGTCCTCTTCCGTGCCTCTCACACATGTCCTCTTCCGTGCCTCTCACACATGTCCTCTTCCGTGCCTCTCACACATGTCCTCTTCCGTGCCTCTCACACATGTCCTCTTCCGTGCCTCTCACACATGTCCTCTTCCGTGCCTATCACACATGTCCTCTTCCGTGCCTCTCACACATGTCCTCTTCCGTGCCTCTCAAACATGTCCTCTTCCGTGCCTCTCACACATGTCCTCTTCCGTGCCTCTCACACATGTCCTCTTCCGTGCCTCTCACACATGTCCTCTTCCGTGCCTCCCCGTTGATCCGCTTCCTCATCTGGCTTGTGTGCCGTTCCCCTTCCGTCTTTCCTTCTCTATCACGTCTCCACCTGTGCCCAGGCTTGCACGAATCGTGTTTTGAGTCGACTCAAAACACGACTTGATCCACTTTCTCATCTGGCTCATGTGCCATTCCCCTTCTGTCTTTCCTTTCCACATCTCCAGCTGTGCCCAGGCGTGCAAGAACCGCTTCAGCGGCTGCAACTGTGCCAAGAGCCACTGCTCCCTCACCTCACCTCACCCCAGACCACCCATCTCTCTACCTCCGGACTGTTCTTTATATCTCCATGCTCGTCCTTCCCTGTCCCACCTGCAGCTGTGCCCAGGCGTGCAAGAACCGATTCAGGGGCTGCAACTGTGCCAAGAGCCACTGCTCCTCGCGCCTCTGCCCCTGCTTTGCTGCATCCAGGGAGTGTGACCCTGACCTCTGCCGCAACTGCTGGGTTGAGTGAGTGCTCGTGCCTCTACTCTTGATCCTGACCCGAGTGAGAAGTCTTGAAAAGATTCATTGTTGGGTCGCAACTGCTGGGTCGAGTGAGTTTTTTCCCTTCATCTTGCCCTGAAACCCTTTTTTTTTTTTTTTAAATCTTCGAGGGTATTGCTGCCTGGTAGTTGCTTTCGCTGCTGCATTGGAGTTGTGTCTCTCAAGAGTGCGACCCAGAGCCGTGCCTAAATAGCTGTGAGGGAGGAGGTGACTTTTGTTTTGAGTCGACTCAAGAGTTTTACTTGTTAAAATGTTACAATGGCATTGTTCCTTGCCTGTCTGTGTCACATGTGCGAAGTTGCGGGGATAACCGCCAAGGGGCTGTGCTGCCACTGCCACCGCCTGTGAGGGAGGTGACTCTTGAGTCAACTTGAAAGTTAACTTGTTACAATGTTACAATTCTATTGTCCCCTGCCTGCCTGTCTGTGTCGCATGTGGGCAGCTGTGGGGATAACCGCCAAGGGGCTGTGCTGCCACTGCCACCGCCTGTGAGGGAGAAAAACTACGACTGCCACAACATGCGCTTGCTGCTGCGCCAGCACCAGCACGTGAGTGGGCCGTCTGTATCACCCAATCCCTTGTGGCTTGCATTGCACCAGCACGTGAGCGCCCCTAGGCAGATTTCAACCCCCTTTCTTTCCCCGCCTCACCCTCGTTCCCTCCCCCTTTCCACCTTTGTAAACTCGTTTCGTCTCACCTCCCCCCCTCTGTACCCTAGTTTCTTCCCTTCCCCTGTAACCTCATCTCCTCCCCCTTCCCGTTCCCCCCCCCTGTAACCTGGTCACCTCCCCTCTACCTGCCTGCAGATTCTACTAGCCCCCTCGGACGTGGCTGGCTGGGGTGCCTTTCTCAAGGTGAGTGGTTTTTCGTTTCTGCACTGGAGGGTTACGGTATGGTACTGTGTGGTACTGTATGGTATTATGTGGTACGGTAGGGTAATGTGTGTTATGGTATGATAAGTTGTAGCATTGCATGACAAGGCAGAGCATGCTGTGATGTGATATGGTGGTCCTCATGTCTGCACAATTGGTTTGACTTTTGAGAATTCTCAAAAGTCAAACCAACAAAGCACTGCATGACCTGCATTCTCAGAATAACATGGTAGAGCACGGTGTGATATGGTGGTGCTCACTCGTGTCTGCACAATTGACCTGCAGCAGAAGTTGAAATGAAATGACGTCCGTGAATTGACATCCTCGAGTCATCCGAATCAACACAATTGCCACTGGAAAGATAAACATGTGATGTGCTGATGTGTGGTGCTGTGCTACACTCCCCTGCTCTGTGGTGTTGTGTGCTGCCGCATGCTATGCGGTGTGGTGCGGTAATGTGCGATTCATGAGTCGGGTGAAAGTGAGAGTGCTGAGGAGTGCACATGCGAGCTCATAACAGGGCACACTCATTTGCTCATACTGTGCTCTCCATGTTATTCTGTGCGATGTTGTGTGGTAACATGTGGTGATGTGTGGTGCAATGCGGAAACATGCGGTGCTGTGCGGTGCAGAAGGAGGTGGCGAAGAACGACTACGTGGGGGAGTACACAGGCGAGCTCATATCAGAGGCGGAGGCAGAGAGGAGGGGCAAGATATACGACCGCATCAATTGCTCCTTCCTGTTCGATCTCAACAAAAAGGTCCGTCGATTGATGTGCTCTGAGAATCTATTGGTGAAACCATAATTTCTTGGGCGATCCCGTGAGGGGCAATATCTACGACCGAACCAACTGCTCTTTCCTCTTTGATCTCAACAAGAAGGTCAGTTGTTGCTGCATTGTGACATTGTATTTTGAGTTGCCTCAAAAGAGGCCGAGAGGAGGGGCAAGATCTACAACCGCATCAACTGCTCCTTCTTGTTCGGTCTCAACGAAAAAGGTCAATTGATGCGCTGTGCCCTTTCGAGTTGTTCTGGCAATGGTACCAGTGGAGTTTTATTTTTGTAATTGTATTCTCCCCCACTAAGTATCAATTCTATGTTCCTCACCCCCCCTGCCCCCATCCCCAACCCCAAACAATTTACCCCCTTACTTCCAGTATGTGCTGGATGCGTTTCGTCGAGGCAACAAGCTAAAATTCGCCAACCATTCGCTTTCGCCAAATTGCCATGCCAGGGTGAGTGTGATTTAATGAACCTGGAAACCTTATGCAGTCTGCTTCGAAGCTGCATCTTTCTTATTGCTAATGAAAGTCTTCTTTTGCATGTGCGGTGCGGTTTCTCAGGTCATTATGTCTGGTGGTGATCATCGAGTGGCAATTTTTGCCGGAGAAAGAATTGAATCTGGGAAGGAGTTGTTTTACGACTATGGATATGCATCTAATTGCACGCCTTTATGGGCACTCAAGCTTGGAACAGCAGCACGTAGGACAGGCGGTCCAGGAGGAAGCTCGAAGACCACTAGAAAAGCTCAAAAGGCTTCTTGAATATGAAAAGGCTCGTTTTCTTTAATCATACTGATGCAATGTATGGACTACGAATCCAATTCTACCACCTGTAACAGTGTGACCAATGTTGATAAAGGTTTCGCTCAGGTTCAGGGGCTTCGGTTACAATCAGGTGTTCTAATGTGACGGTTGCAGACACTGTTGAGCAGTCCGAACCGCCTGTGAAGTCACACCAACCTGAAGGTTCAATGGTTAGGGTAAATTGCGCTAGCAAGTCGAGATGGAAAGTTTTCTACTCCTCTTTCTCAACAAAGTAGAAAGTTTCACTAGACTGGAATATGTTTCGAGATTAGCCTTGGTATTCCGAGCTGCAGTCCCCAGAGTGATTGAATTGAGAACATAGAAATGACAACCCCTTCGGTGCTAGAAAGGTTTTGTAAGCAGATATTCGTAACTGTATCCCACAGGATACACTTTCCGTGTGGAGGAGCAGGTTCTGTAGGCTCCGACCAGGTGGAAACCTACAGTTTGCGAATCACTCACCTCAACCACAATAACGCGTCTCCGTACCGTACTGTACCTGATATCTCACTACAGCACACCTTCCACGTTTCATTTCACTGGTGCGGGCAATTTTGATATGATGAGCCCAGGGATAGTGCTCACAGCCATGGGTGTGAGGAGGATCTCAGAAGAGTTGGGTTGGGTGGGATGGGATCGGACTCTCCAGACGGGCAGGCTGGACGGGCAGGGGCTACAAGGCGACCAACAAAAACTGTACACCAAGAAGGAAATTCCGAAGGGGAGACAGGAAGGCAGGGCAAGAAAGTTAACTCCAAGGAGCTACTTGCAGTGCCCAGAAGAGAGTAGAGGTACAGCAGGCAGCAGCTCGTATCAGGAGGACTCGAGGAGACAAGCTCTTGGTTGCTCGCCGCGCCACATTCTCGTTATCGTGTGGTGATAGGGCCACATTCGCCTAGCAGGCACAAAATCAGGTCCCATGATGTCGCAGTGATAGGCGCGCGCATGGGGGCATCTCATCCCCGCGGACGCTCCGCCAGGATATCCCCTGCTAGTTGGAGATCCGCGATGGTTCCCGCCACTGGCGCGCGTAAGCGCCTCCCGCCAAGTTCTCCTTCCGCCCATCCCCCGCGAATCTTTTTCCCCGCTTCCGCCCACGCTTCCGCCCGCGCTTCCGCTGCCACGCCCTTCACCTCGATAATGTCCGCGATACTGTTGTCCTCGTTACTGTTCGCCGCATTACTAGTCACTCCAGCGGTAGCCCAGGGGACAGATGCGGCCTCCCCCGGCTGTACCGTCTCCGCGTCGGCGGTATCCTGCCCGGCGGGACTTGGGGGCCGCGCATTTGCGCTCAACGCGCAAGCTTACATCGCGGGCGCAGGCCGAGAAAACGCGCTCGTCCTGGGCGCGGGCGGAACCGCGGATAAGGGATCCGCGGGTTCCGCATTCACTATCGCCGTGCTCTCGCCTCCGCTCGGTGGCGGAGGCTCCTTTTCGGCGCGCTTCACGTTCCAGCTGGAGGGGCAGAACGAGGCTGACGTGGCAACGGGGCTTGCTTTCGTCATCATTGGCGGAACCAACACCGCTGTCGGATCGCCTAGGTGAGATCCAGCATTCCCCATCGTCGCTCTTATCCCCTCTCCTCCGCCGCCATTGTCTCCCCTTTCCCCGCCTCCCCGGCCCATTGTTCCTCTTTCCCCCGCTTCCTCTTTTCCCCGCTTCCTCTTTCCCCCGCTTCCATGCCGTGCCCCTTATCTGACCTTGCCCCTCCCCCCCCCAAGCTCTCCCCGTGTGGTTTCCCGTGCGCTCATCCATGCCCTCCCCTGTGCGCTCGTCCATGTGTCCCCCCATGCGCTCCCCCATGTGTCCCCCCATGCCTTCCCCCGTGTGTCCCCCCGTGCGCTCCACCGTGCGCTCCCCCGTGCGCTCCCCCACGCATCACCCACCCCACCCCCGTCCTCCACTCCCCACACAGCTCTGCCGGCTACGGCGGCGCCGCCTTCGATGCCAGCCTGGCAGTGGTGATCAACGGCCGCCCGCCCATCTCTGCCGGCCTGCTGCTGGGCGGCAAGGCGGACGGCACTGCCGGATGGGCGGCTCTCAACCCCTCCGCGCCTGACGCACCCCATGTAAGCTGAGCGTGTAAGGAGGGAGAAAGGGAGGGTCCGCGCCATCTACGATGAGCGTGTGGGGGGAAGGGAGAAAGGGTCGTGTCCCCATGTCCGATGAGGAGGGGGAGGGGGAGGGAGGGGCGCAACCCACGTACGTACGTGACTCGAGGGCTACGTGTGTTCGTGAAACACTGCTGAGAAATTCCAACAGTGCTCTCCTAAACTCCCCCTTTTTGCCCCTTCCCTTTCCCACCTTCCCCATCCCCCTCTCCCCTCCCCCAGCTCCTGGTCCCGGGGGTGCAGCAGCACGCCTGGGTGGACTACGACGCCTCCCACTCCTCCCTTGTTCTCACTATACCCATTCCTTACCCCATACTGTCTGTTCCTCTTCTACCCCCACTCTCTTCCCCCCCCCAGCTCCTGGTCCCGGGGGTGCAGCAGCACGCCTGGGTGGACTACGACGCCTCTAGCACCACCCTCCGCCTCTTCCTCAGCGGCTCCTCCCCCACCAAGCCTGCAGCTCCGGTGCTCTCCGAGCCTGTCAACCTGGCTCGGACGCTCGGCTTGGCCGCAGACGGCAGCTGCCCAGATGGCATTGGCGAGGCGGCGGTGGGCGGCGGTGGTTGTCTGTTTGTGGGGTTTACGGGAGGGTCGGCAGCAGTGGATACAGTTGAGCTGGCAGCAGCGGGAGTGGTTCCCGGAGGGGAGCTCATCCAGACCGTTGACTCGTTTGACTTCAAATTCCTCTCCGCCGGCGCTACAGCCGGCGCTACAGCCGGTGCTACAGCTGATACTGCCACTGCAACCTCTGCCGATGCTACCAGCACTGAGTCACGCCTCCCCCGCTCGGCAGATATCAGCAGTGCAACGGTGGCTTCCTTCGGAGCCACAGACCCCTCTGCTGCAGGCGGCGGTCTCTTCTCAGTCGCCTCTGTCGATTCCAGCTCTGGCACTGGTGGTCTCACTGCCTCTGCCGCCCCTGCCCCTGCCCCTTCCGCTAGCTCCCCCTCCTCCTGCAACGTCACTGCCACCAGCATCTCCTGTGCTGGTTTTTCCTCTTCTTCCTCCTCCTCGCCCTTCTTCATCCTCTCTGGGGATGCTCAGATCGGGCCCGGACCGAACTTCCCCATCTGGCTCGACACCACCACCAATGCTGCAGGCTGCGCCTTCTCCATCCCGAGCCTCAGCCTCAGCCTCGGCACCGGACCGGTGGCGTTTGAGGCGGCGTTTTCGTTTTCGTTTGCGGCGAGTGCGGATTACAACAGCTGGGGTAGTCGAGGGCTGGCGTTTGTGCTCACTGCCGGGGAGAAGACCGCCTGTGGCCGCAGCTCCGCCAGGTGAGGAGCGGTGGGGAGGGATAGGGTGTGGTAGCACTGATCCGTGTCACAGCTCCCAACACGGATCTCCATTTGCCCTGACTCTTCCCTCTGCTGCCACGTTCCTATTCCCTCTGATTCCCGTCTTCCGCCCCCTCTTCCCATCCACCACCCGCACCCCCTCCCTCTTCCAACCAGCAACATAGGGTATGGATCAGCCCCTAACGCGTCGTTCGCAAATAGCATAGCAGTGGAGCTGAGAGCGCGGCCGACGGCGTGTGTGGCGGTGGTGGTGGGCGGGCAGGTGGCCGGCGACAACTGTGCCGACTCCGATGCCATGGCGCTGCTGCCGCCAGGGCAGGTAACACCTGGTTGGGTAGAGCTGCCTACTCAGGTAACAACTGTGCCGACTCTGATGCCATGGCGCTGCTGCTGCGCAGCCAGGTAACGCCTGCTCAGGTAGCGCCCGGTCGGGTTACGCCTCGTCGGGTGAAACCTGCTGCGGTAACTCCTCCAGGGGTAAGGCCTGCTCGAGTAGGGTTAACACCTGTTGGGTAAGGCTTTTTTTCATTGGCCCCTACACGTTGTTTTTTATTAGAATTGCTTTGCGTCATTACTTTGGCCAAATGTGTGGTCTCGAGTTCAATTCCCACTGTGCACCATGATTAGTGCCTGTCTAAGTCAACCCCGGTGAAGAGGATGCCTCTTGGACGTCATCCTAGGTCTTGCAGGCATGCTCTCTCCCTTATCGTCATACGTCCTTAAAGCCCAGTGGTTAGCAGTCCAGCTGGTCCAACACCAAGCCCCACTTTCCCGTAACCCCCACTCCCCTGCTCCACCCGCCCCCCCTGCTCCCTCCACTTCTCCGCTCCCCCAACCCCCCCCCCCCCCCCCACTCCCCCCCACCCACCCAGGCGTTCACGCTGAACGAGCCGCAGCACGTGTGGGTGAGTTATGACGGCAGCAGCGGCACGCTGCAGGTGTTTGTCTCCCCAGGCGCGGCCACCAAGCCCACCGCACCTGTGTTGGTGGCGCCCATCGATGTGGCGGCGGTTCTGGGAGGCACGGCGGGGCTGTCGGTGGGCTTCACAGGCGCGTCGTGGTGGACGTGGGTGGACGACCTGGAAGACCACATCATCCACTCCCTGTCTTTTGAAGCTGGTACGATATGTATTGTACATATAATGGGGGGGGGGAGGAAGGGAGAAGGGGAGGACGTGGGTGGACGACCTTGAAGACCACCTCATCCACTCCCTCTCCTCCCAAGCTGGTAACCACATCATCCACTCCCTCTCCTCCCAAGTTGGTAACCACATCATCCACTCCCTCTCCTTCCAAGCTGGTACGATTTTTTATCACTGCTGTTATTTCTATGGTTGTTATGATTGATATTACTTGCATTGTCTATATATAATAATAATAATTTAAGGAGGGACTTCCTTGGAGGAGGGTGTGCCTATAGGACCATTTTGTCGCCGTGTTTGTTTACCATCTGTCCAGTTCTCAGCGCGAAGGTGACTTCTGAGTAAACCTTTCCCTCTCTTTCCCTTCTCCATCCCCTCTCCCCCTCCCCTCAGTCCCCCCCGGGTCGCAGCAGTCCCTGCCACCCTCCCCTGCGCCCACCACGTGCCACCTCGCCCCCTCCCACACGCGTCTCACCTGCTCGGGCTTTGCGGGCCGCTCAGCCTTCCGCCTGAACGGCTATGCCCACGTGGGGCCCGCCCCCTCCTTCCCCCTCGTCCTCGACACCGGCGGCACCGCTGGCAGCGCGCTCACCCTCGCTGACCTGGCACTCTCGCTGGATTCGTCCACGTCCGCAGTAACTGTAGGAGGAGACCCGGCGGCAGCAGTGGCGTTTGAGGCGGCGTTTGCGTTCTCGGTGTGGACGGAGACGTCTTATGGCTACCGGGGTAGCAGGGGTTTGACTTTTGTTGTTAGCAGCGGCGACAAGACTGCCTGCGGGTCGAGTGATATGGGGTGAGTGGATCGACATGGTAAGTCGAGGAGGCGTACAATGACTCAAAATTGTATGGCATGGGTAGGATAACTCTTTCCCTACCATCTTGCAATTTATCATATCTACCTTCTTACTTCAGTGCAACACATTCCGCACTTTCTCCTCCTCCATTCCTCCATTTTTGAGGCGCCTCAAAAGTACCTTCTTACTTCAGTGCAACACATTCCGCACTTTCTCCTCCTCCATTCCTCCACTTTTGAGGCGCCTCAAAAGTACCTTCTTACTTCAGTGCAACACATTCCCCACTTTCTCCTCCTCCATTCCTCCATTTTTGAGGCGCCTCAAAAGTACCTTCTTACTTCAGTGCAACACATTCCCCACTTTCTCCTCCTCCATTCCTCCATTTTTGAGGCGCCTCAAAAGTACCTTCTTACTTCAGTGCAACACATTCCCCACTTTCTCCTCCTCCATTCCTCCATTTTTGAGGCGCCTCAAAAGTACCTTCTTACTTCAGTGCAACACATTCCCCACTTTCTCCTCCTCCATTCCTCCAACCTACTCAGCACCCTCACGTGTCTCTCTCCACACCCTCCCCTCAGAGCCATAGGGTATGGGAGAGCGGCACCAGGGGCGTTCAACGGGAGTGTGGCTGTGGAGCTTTATTCGGGGTTTGAGGCACCTGAAATGGCCTGCCTGCCACACCCTTTATTTCTCCCTATCTTCGCAACTCACCCATCCCTTCCCTTCCCTCCCCTTCCCTCCCTTCCCTCCTTTCCCTTCCCTCCCAACAGAGCCATAGGGTACGGGGGAGCGGCACCAGGGGCGTTTAACGGGAGTGTGGCGGTGGAGGTGCGGTCGGGGCCCACCTCGTGTGTGGCTGTGGTGGTGAACGGCGTGGCTTCAGGCGACAACTGCGCTGCTGCTGACCACATGACCGGCCTCACAGGAGACCAGGTCAGTTCAGTGCGGTAAATTGTGAAATAATGCGGTGAATTTTGGTTCCCTGCGGTGGACTGCGGTTCGAGGGGAATGTGGCAATGGAGCTGCATTTGTCATACGATACAACAGCGCTTCTGAAGCTATGTTCCATCTGACGCCCTAATGTTGCAGCGTCCGGCGTCCAGACGTTACTGTCCGGACGCTGGACGCTGGGGATTTTCTTTTTGGGCAGCCCCAAACAAAAATCCCGCACAAATTTGAGGCGGGATTCAATCGCGACCAGATTCGCGATGAAATCGCCAAGTGTGGGTTACGTTTTTGAGCTACAAAAACGCAACCCACATTTATTTCCCCCCCACACATTTTCACCCATCCAAATCTACTTGTCCCAACCTGGTCGACCCCCAGCTAAACCAGAAAACCAGATCTAGGCCGACATTACACATTTCTCTTTCTGTTGTCATAGCTGTCACAGAATGTATTGTTGTTTGCAATAGATTCAGTTACTTGCTAGTGTAGGTGTAGTTGGGTTATTCGAAGTACTGTAGAAGGTGAGTTTGGGGCGTGGGGATTGACGCAAAGTGGTGATTCAGGGACTTGCGAGGCGCAGGGTGGGACGAATTCAAGGGCGAGCCCTGGGCAATCTGAAAGGCCAATCCTAAAGCCTAGCGGGCGGAGCCCAATGTGAGTTACGGGAAACTGCGCGGCACGGGGTAGAGATTCAAATAGACTAGGAACTCACTGCTTAGTTCGTTCTCTCGTTTGTTTGCCTAAAATAGTGGATTTACGTTGCCGTTCTAACGCTACAGCAGCTAGGTGACTAGGCCACTGAGGGCAGCCATTGTGTGGGAGCCAGTATCTCTCACAAACGAGAGAAAAGCTTTGGCGGTATGGATTGCCACGAGCTGCGTTGGCAGCAGATGGACTCGCGTCGGGAGTTTTCACCGTCGCAGAGGATGCGCTCATTGGAGCGCGGGAGATCGCGGACGCGTTCGCCACGGAGGACGGCATACTGCGCGGAAGGGGGCTCACCCATATGAGGGCGACGAGGAGGAAGCCAGGGCGATCTGCATGCGAAGGCGGAGCCCAGGCCTCGTTCGTCCGGAAGTGATCCTTGGAATCTGGCAAGTGGCCAGCAAGGAGCGGGAGAAGGGCGTCATGACGTCGCGGATATGACGGACTCGCCGGAATCAGCAAGGAAGGCTGATGACGAGAGAGATTGCGAAGGTGTCACCACTGCGCGGGGTGGAGGCGAACAACGCCTAGGCAGGGAGGAGGCAGATCTGCAGAATCGAGGTGCAGAAGAGCGTAATAGCGACGCGGAAACAGATCTTGCATTAGAGGGGATGTGTGAAGAAGGCAGAGTGAGGTGTCGAGGGAACACGGCGGCGGATTGCTCGCCAGACGACAGGCGCAAGGGAAGCGCGAGGCGCCGCGAGAGCGCGGATGCAGCTGGTGCGACGGACGAAACAGATGGGAGTGGCGAAAGGCTTCATGGCAGCGGGGATGCAGCTGGTGCGATGGACGAAAACGAAATGGGTGGGAATGGCGCGAGGCGCCGCGGAGAAGAAAGGGCGGATGCGAAAGAGGACGACCTGCAAAGCGATGGCAGAGATGGACGCGAAGAACGCGGATGTGTAATGGAAGAAGATCGATTGACGAACGAGATGCGCGGGGGTGGCGCACGGCGCCACGAGGACATGGCAGCAGATAGCGCGCGAGAAGAGATGCGCGAGGGAAGTGCGAGGCGCCGCGGGAGCATGAATGCAGATCGTTCTGCTGGCGACATGCGCGGGGGTGCGAGGCGCCGCGGGGGTGCGGATGCAGCCGGTTCGACTAACGGAACGTGCGGGAATGACACGAGATGCGGGAGCGCGGAGGCAGATGGCGCGACCGACGAAATGGGTGGGGGCGGCGCGAAACGCCAGGGGAACCGCGCGGATGCAGATCGCGCGCCAGAGGAGGTGCGCGGGAGTGAAGCGAGGCGCCAGGGGAATCGCGCGGACGCTGATCGCGCGCCAGAGGAGGTGCGCGGGAGTGAAGCGAGGCGCAGCAGGAGCAAAGCAGCTGAGCCCTGGTCAAGGGAGCGAGGGGAGGAGGAGAAGAGGCGTGTTGCACCAGCAGGAGTGTATTGTTCGCCCGAGCCTGGACAAGGCCGTGCGGGCATGAGGCGTATGGCGATGGGAGAAAAGAGATCGCTGGAATGGTCAGAAGAGGAGGAGGACGAGGATTACGAAGGAAAGCGCGTTCAGCACTCGCCAGCAAGGAGGCGGCGGCCAGCGGAGAAGGCGCGAGGCAGGGGTAGCATACGATCGCCACCCAGCACCTCAAGGGAACAGGCGGGAGCGCGCCGTGAGAAAGCAGAAGACCACCTGTGGGCAGAGAGAAGGGCTGCAAAGGAAACAAGCGAAGAAGCAAGAATGTGGCCCGAGAGAGAGAGCCGTGAGAGGAGGGGCGAAGGAGAGCGATACCAAGGAGGTGAAGAGGCAGGAAGAAAAGGGGATACGGGGAAACGGGATCAGGAACGCCGAGGCTGGGAAGAGTGTGGAGATTATGAGGAAAGAGGGAGGTGGGACTCACCGGAAAGAGGAAGGGAGTGGAGGCGCGAGGAGGACTGGCGAGGCAAGAGAGAAGGTGTGCGGACACCAGAAGTCTCGAGGGCAGCAGAGAAGGAGCGACAACAAGAGGACAGAGTGCGGCAGTACCAGGAGCGGTCTCCTGCAGGGGGAGAGAAGCGTCGAGAAGATGCAGAGAGGCGCAGGGGGGAGCAAGAAGATGCGCGAGGGAGGAGCCCTAGCCCGATGGGCCCGAGGAGGCCGGGGCGTCACGGCGTAGGATCTGCTGGAGCAAGAGCAGCTAGGGAGAGAATAGAGCGAGTGCTGTATGGAACCAGCACGGGCAGTAGGGGAGAAAGGGAAAGGAGGAGAGGGGTTATGATGTCTGAGCAAGGAGGGACGGAGAGCTGGGAAACAGGGAAGTGGGGGGCAACAGCACAGCCGCGAGTGGAGGTGCCAGTACGCTTCACGGGAAACGAGGAAACCGGCCCAAGTCTAAAGAACTATTTGATGCAGATCAGCAATGTTAAATACTGATGTGACAGAAGCGGGATAGACCCGATTGAGTTTTTTCTGAGCCTGCCAAGCATGTTGGGAGGGGAAGCAGAGACTTTGTATCGCTTGAAGATGGGTGAATGGCTGTGGAGGGCAGAAGAGGATGACGAGGACCCGATGGTACTGTTCCTGGAGCGACTAAGGAAGCAGTTCCCTGGGCATACGGCAGCGCGCATCAGGGAATTCCAGGAGTTTAGGCGGAGGGACGAGGAGTCACTGCTGACATACTACGGACGGTTAATGAACCTGGCGGAAGACGTGGTGTGCACGGACAGCAGCATGATCATTAGCAAGCTTCTGCATGGTTTAGACAAGGGATTGGCAGGAGGGTTGAGAATGAGAGTCTATGAGCTAGGAGCAGATGCAACACCAGAGGAGGTATTCGAGTTAGCGGAAAGGGTGGAGCTGGCGCAGAGGAAGTATGAGGTATACCTGCCGAGGACGATAGAGAAGAAGTGTCCTACCTGGGCAACGGCGATGATACCAGGGGAGGGAGCAGGAGAAGAGGGCAGGCCATAGAAAAGGGCAGAGACACGCACCTGTTACCAGTGTGGACAGCCGGGGCACATAAGGATGCACTGCAGGAACTGCGATGCATGTGGGAAGCCAGAGCACTGCCGAAGGGACTGCCTGGAGGCACCGACATGTAAGGAGTGCGGAGAAAGGGGGCATGAAGCAAGGGGATGCGATAAAGGGGCAGGCGGAACAAAAGGGTCAGCAGAGGAGATCGAGAGCCAGATAAGGCAGTTGCGGGCGCAGTTGCAGGCCCTGGGAGGGAGAAAGAAGAAAGAGGCTGGGCTGTATGCGAGGGAAGAAGGAGCAGAAGAGGAGGAAGGGCAGGAGCCAGAGTACACATGCCTGGCGTTACGTAGCCGTGAGGGACTGGGGCTGCGCAGTGGGGGCAGAGGCGGAAGGAAAGGGTGGGAGCTGAGAGGAAGGACAGAGAGGCAGGCGGAGTTGTATGCAAGTGAGGAAGAAGAGAAGGAGGAAGGGGAGCAGGAGCCAGAATATTCCTGTGCGGTGCTGTGTAGCAGTGACGCCATGGGGCTGCGCAGTGGGGGCAGGGACAGAGGAAAGGAGCCAGCCACGAAGGTGAGGGCATGGGCAGTGGCAAAAGGGGAACAGAAGGACGAGAAAGAGGAGGCAGAAGTGTGTGAATTAGTAGCAGCAGACACCGAAGGTAAGGATGAGAAGGTGAGGGCATGGGCAGCAGCAGAAGGGGAAGAGAAGGACGAGAAGGTGAGGGCATGGGCAGTGGCAGAAGGGGAAGAGAAGGGCGAGGAGGAGGCAGGAGTGTGCGAATTAGTAGCAGCAGACACTGAAGGGAAGGATGAGAAAGTGAGGAAATGGGCAGCAACAGAAGGGGAAGGGAAGAATGAGAGAGAGGGGACATGGGCGTGCATGTTAGTAACGCCAGCAGCAGCGGAAGTAGAGGAGAAGGATGAGAAAGTGGGGGCAGGAGCGTGTGTACCAGCAACAGCGGAAGCAGAGGAAAAGGATGAGCAGGTGGGGGCAAGAGCATGTGTACCAGCAGCAGCGGAAGCGGAAGTGGTGGATGAAGGGGTGGAGGCACGGGCATGTGTGGTGGCAGCAGCGGAAGAGGAAGGGAAAGAAGAGAAGGTGGGGGCACAGGCGTGTGTAGCAGCAGCAGCGGAAGAGGAAGGGAAAGAAGAGAAGGTGGGGGCACAGGCGTGTGTAGCAGCAGCAGCAGAAGAGGAAGGGAAAGAAGAGAAGGTGGGGGCACAGGCGCGTGTAGTGGCAGCAGCGGTAGCAGAAGGGAAAGCCAAGAAAAAGGGGGCATGGGCGTGCGCACCAGCAGCCGCAGAAGCAGGAGGAAAAGATGAGAAGGTGGGGGCACGGGCACGTGTACTAAAGGCAGACAAGCAAGCGCAGGAAAGTGGGATGGCAGAGCAGCAAGTGAGGAAGCTGTGGGAAGAACATCCAGAGCTGAAGGGGGAAGACATGGGAAAAGAAGCCATGAGAGGACCCGAGGCGGATGTGAGGAGCATACCAGCAGAGGCGGCGTGTAACCAGGGGCAAGGTGACCTATGGGTCGCTCTATGGGAAGGTCTGGTGAGGGACCCGGCCAAGAAGCAGGAAGAAGCAGTGAGGGAGAGCAAGGAAGAGGGGGAATGGGAGTGCCTGACAACAGGAGAAGGACTGGAGCATACAGTGGGAGATGCGATGAGTAAGAAAGAACAAAAGGCCGTGAAGACAGTAAAGGGGATTAAGGGAGAGGCATGGGAAGATGAGTCGATGGAGCCAGCAACACAGGTGCTGATAGAACCAGCGGGAATGAGAGTGGCTGAGAACTGGGTGGCATGGGACAGGGAGCATACCTGCAGAGAGGGATACGCTGGAAGTAGCACTGGATACACAGAGAAGAGAGACGCAGGACCCGGGGGGGTCCAAGAGTGCTGGTGCAGAGGAATCAGAGAAGAGAGCAGACGGGGAACCGCCTGATGAATGCTGCAGTGGTGAGAAGCACCCGGCCTCAGCAAGAGTGTCCAGTGCCACGTGCACGGGAGACCCGAGCACGAGCTCTGGAGGGGGCAGGTAGTGGCTGAGGCAGAGCAGGTAAGGTATCACAGGAACAGAGCTTGGAAGAAGAAGGGAGGGAGGGTGAGAGCAGGAAGGAGAAGGCAAGCCATGGGATGCCACAGATTATGAGTTTCCGACAGCTGTCACAGAATGTATTGTTGTTTGCAATAGATTCAGTTACTTGCTAGTGTAGGTGTAGTTGGGTTATTCGAAGTACTGTAGAAGGTGAGTTTGGGGCGTGGGGATTGACGCAAAGTGGTGATTCAGGGACTTGCGAGGCGCAGGGTGGGACGAATTCAAGGGCGAGCCCTGGGCAATCTGAAAGGCCAATCCTAAAGCCTAGCGGGCGGAGCCCAATGTGAGTTACGGGAAACTGCGCGGCACGGGGTAGAGATTCAAATAGACTAGGAACTCACTGCTTAGTTCGTTCTCTCGTTTGTTTGCCTAAAATAGTGGATTTACGTTGCCGTTCTAACGCTACAGCAGCTAGGTGACTAGGCCACTGAGGGCAGCCATTGTGTGGGAGCCAGAATCTCTCATGGTAGTGGCTGAGGCAGAGCAGGTAAGGTATCACAGGAACAGAGCTTGGAAGAAGAAGGGAGGGAGGGTGAGAGCAGGAAGGAGAAGGCAAGCCATGGGATGCCACAGATTATGAGTTTCCGACATAGCCTAGCAACCTGAACCCTAGAATCCACCAGTCATGCTACTGAGTTATGCATGTGAGACTGACAGTATTTAACTTGTGTGTGAGATTAGGGGATTTTCAGAATTTTCAGGATATTCTGGAATATGAACAGCTTTTCCCCTGTTTAGCCTTACTACCAAGGTTTTTTTGCCCCCTTCCCGGGATATTTTTTTGCCTGCCCGGACTAGCATCAAGTGGGCGTCCAGGGCAGAGGAACCCGGGCGTCCAGCATCTTGACGCCCCGTCCAGACGCCAGCGTAAAAAACGCTGGACGCATCAGATGGAACATTTTTGAGTCGACTCAAAATTCAACTCGCTGGACGCATCAGATGGAACATTTTTGACTCGACTCAAAAGTCAACTCGCTGGACACATCAGATGGAACATTTTTGAGTCGACTCAAAAGTCGACTCGCTGGACGCATCAGATGGAACATTTTTCAGTCGACTCAAAAGTCAACTTGCTGGGCGCATCAGATGGAACATTTTTGAGTCGACTCAAAAGTCAACTCGCTGGACGCATCAGATGGAACATTTTTGAGTCGACTCAAAGGTCAACTCGCTGGACGCATCAGATGGAACATTTTTGAGTTGACTCAAAGGTCAACTCGCTGGACGCATCAGATGGAACATATTTCTGAAGCCGCCTCACCACCCACCCCTCTTACTCCTCACCGTTTCATCTGGTGCGTGTTTTCTCTGCATGGAAAGAAGGCAGCAGCACGCGTGGGTGGCACTCCCAACTGCAGACTATTTCGTTTCCACCCACAACTCACTTTCCCACCCTTTCTTCCCGTGCATTCATGTGCTATCCTCTCAGGAGATTGCACTGAGCGAGAGGCAGCACGCGTGGGTGGCATACGACGGCACATCCCAGTCACTGGAGGTCTATCTGGGCGGCAGCGACGGCATAAAGCCCGAGGAGCCGGTGCTGCGGGCGTCGCTTGATCTTGTGGCTGTCATTGGTGCCACGTCAGCATCTGTGGGGTTCACAGCTGGCACGTGGTGGTGGGGATGTGGCGACACGGACGACCACCACCTCATCCATTCCTTCGCATTCAACACTGGTGAGCTGACAGGAATTTCTCTGTGCTAACGACTTAAAAAGTCCTTGAATTTTGAGTCTGATCCAAAGGCAACATGGACGACTATCACCTCATCCACTCCTTCTCCTTCAATGCTGGTGAGCTTGGGGCTCAGATTCTGGCTTGCTTGGGGCTCAGATTCTGGCTTGCTTGGGGCTCAGATTCTGGCTTGCTTGGGGCTCAGATTCTGGCTTGCTTGGGGCTCAGATTCTGGCTTGCTTGGGGCTCAGATTCTGGCTTGCTTGGGGCTCAGATTCTGGCTTGCTTGGGGCTCAGATTCTGGCTTGCTTGGGGCTCAGATTCTGGCTTGCTTGGGGCTCAGATTCTGGCTTGCTTGGGGCTCAGATTCTGGCTTGCTTGGGGCTCAGATTCTGGCTTGCTTGGGGCTCAGATTCTGGCTTGCTTGGGGCTCAGATTCTGGCTTTGAACATATCGTCGTCCTTTGCCTCCCTACCCTCCCCCTTGCCCACACACCTCCCCAGTGTCCCCTGGGTTCCTGCCAGCAGCATCACCCACCTAAATCCCAGTCGAACCCTCATTTCCCTCCCCCACTCTCTTTTTACCCCGACCCATCCACCTCCCCAGTGTCCCCCGGGTTCCTGCCGGCAGCACAGCCCACACAGGCGCCCACCTGCGAAACCACCGCCTCCTCTCTGCACTGCACTGGCTTCGCCGGCTCCACCCCCTTTGACCTCAATGGCTACGCGCAGCTCGGCCCGGCGCCGCACTTCCCGCTCTGGCTCGACTCGTATGATTCTGTCGGCTCTGCGCTCTCCCTCGCGCCCCTCTCCCTCCTCACCGCTTCCGCCCGCTCCTCCGCCTTTGAAGCCGCCTTCTCCTTCACCTTCCTTGCTGATGCCTGCGCTGCTATCCCGGTAGGATACTCACCCTTTCACCCTGGCACCCTTGTATTGTCTGCACTCTTCCACTCTACATGCTTGCACATCACACCCCAATCGCCTTTGAAGCCGCCTTCTCCTTCACCTTCCTCACTGATGCCTGCGCTGCTATCCCGCCCGGTAAGATGCTCACTCTGCACCCTTGCACTCTTGCACCCTTTCGGGGTTATGCTATACCTATAGCACCCTTGCACTCTAGCACTCTGCACCCTTGCACTCTTGCACCCTTTCGGGGTTATGCTATACCTATAGCACCCTTGCACTCTAGCACTCTGCACCCTTGCACTCTTGCACCCTTTCGGGGTTATGCTATACCTATAGCACCCTTGCACTCTAGCACTCTGCACCCTTGCACTCTTGCACCCTTTCGGGGTTATGCTATACCTATAGCACCCTTGCACTCTAGCACTCTGCACCCTTGCACTCTTGCACCCTTTCGGGGTTATGCTATACCTATAGCACCCTTGCACTCCACACCTCTCTCTCTTCCCCTTCACCTTCCTCGTCGATCCCTGTGCTGCAATCTCGTTGCGAGTCTCACCCTTTCACCCTTGCACTTACGCTTTCTTACAACCTTGCCTTCTTTACCTGTTTTCTCCTCTCGTTCCCCTTCACCTCTCTTTCTTCTGCTTCCCCAAACTGGCAGGTGACGGGTAGAGGATTCACCTTTGTGCTCACCAGCGGCCCAGCAACTGCTGTCGGACCACAAAACGCAAGGTGCTGTGCGGTGCTGGGTGCTGCTGGGTGGTGCTTGCCGGTGCTGACTGGTGCCAAATTGTGCAGAGGGGTGCTTGGTGGTGCTGGCTGGTGCTGGCTGGTGTTGGCTGGTGCTGCGTGGTGAAGGCCCCAGTTGGGGTGGACGGTACAGAGTAGAGTCAGGTTCTGACTGTGACCCATGCCTTGACTTTTGAGCCGACTCAAAAGTCAACATGCCTTGTGTAGCTGTCTCACTCACCCTTTCCCTCATTTGTTGTCACGCTTCTCTCTCTCCCTCTGCAGTTCCCTGGGCTATGGTACGGGAAAAGGGGCGTTCCTCAAGAGTGTGGCAGTGGAGATTTACCTGTGCCCTGCCCCTAATTAAGCCGTCTCAGTGTCGCATATAGGACTAGCTTTCATCCGTCTCACTCTCTCTCTCTCTCCCCCTCGCAATTCCCTGGGCTACGGGCCGGCAGGAGGGGCGCTCCTCAAGAGTGTGACCATAAACTTCCGCCTGTGCCCCAATAGCACAGAAATGTCCATCCCCTATCCCTCACTTCCTTCCACCCTTTTTCTCTCCCCTTGCAGGTCCCTGGGAACGGGTCGGCAGGAGGGGTGTTCCTCAAGACTGTGGCAGTGGTTTCACCTGTGACCCATACCCCCTGCCCTGTCCCTTGTAAAGCCGTCTCAATTTCCTTTTCCTCCCGTTGCCCGCTTCTTTTCTCCCCTCAGTTCCCTGGGCTATGGGTCAGCAGGAGGCGCGTTCCTCAAGAGTGTGGCAGTGGAGTTCCGCCTGTGCCCCATACCCTGTATAGCCGTCTCCTCTAAGGGAGTCGTGGCGGGAGACGGTTGTGCTGGAGCCGAGTTCTACACTGTTCTGCCCCCAGAGAAGGTGCGTGCGCTCGCCTTGCTTCTTTGAAGTGTGTTCCAAAGACCCTCTTTTTTCAAAAAAAAAATTCCCTAAGTTTCCTTGGGAGTCGGCTGCTCCTTGCTTTTGGTATCTGAAGCCATAATTCTTGGACATTTACTGCCTGCCCGTAAACGGACGGGGAGTGTGGCCCTTTTGAGACTTCTCAAAAGCTCACCACCGCATCTCCCCTCCCTCCCTCTTTAATTTCCCGCCAGCCTTTTTCTCTCAACGCCTAGCAGCACGCCTTATCTGCTATATTTGTGTTACTTTTGAGAATTCTCAAAAGTAGCACACTTATCTGCTTCCTTGCATGTGTTTGTGCCATAATTCCTCTCCACCCCACTCCACTCCACTCCACTCCCCCAGACCCCTTCAACCCCCCCAGGCCTTCCATCTCAACACTCAACAGTACGCCTGGGCGAGATGCGATGAGGGCTCTCAGACCCTCAACGTGTTTTTGGAGGAACGTCCAGGTGAACTGGAGACTAACCTCTCTCTCATGTCACGTGTCTCTCCCTCTCCTCTTCCCTCCCTCCCTCCCTCCCTCCCTCCCTCCCTCCCTCCCTCCCTCCCTCCCTCCCTCCCTCCCTCCCTCCCTCCCTCCCTCCCTCCCTCCCTCCCTCCCTCCCTCCCTCCCTCCCTCCCTCCCTACCTCCCTCCCTCCCTCCCTCCCTCCCTCCCTCCCTCCCTCTCTCCTCACCTCCCTGCTTCCCTACCTTCCCACCAGGCCTTCCCACTCAACACCCAGCAGTACGCCTGGGTGAGCTACGAGGGGGCCTCTCAGACCCTCAACGTGTTCCTGGGGGGATCGTCCAAGGTCAAGCCAGGTGTACCAATGCTCACTGCCCACGTGGACATTGAAACCATCCTCGGCGCCACGTCAGCGTCTGTGGGGTTCACAGGTGGCACGTGGTGGGGGCAGGACATGGCGAGTGAACGACACATCATCCACCAGCTCAGCTTCGTGGGAGGTGAGAGGGATAGGGAGTGTGTGAATAGAGAATTTGAATGTGTGCATAGGGAATTTGAGTGTGTGGCAATGAAGGGGTATCGGCAGGCAAGTGCCCTTCTCTCACTTCATCGTTGTGGCGAGCGAGCGACACATCAGCCACCAGCTCAGCTTCGTGGGAAGTGAGAGGGATAGGGAGTGTGTGATGTGAATAGAGATTTTGAATGTCTGGCAATATAGGGTATCGGCAGGCAAGTCCCCTTCTCTCACTTCAATGTTGTGGGCAGCGAGCGAGCTTATCATCCACCAGCATCATGGGAGGTGAGTCAAGGATGGAGGGAAGAAGGGCGGGAGACGTGGGGTGTGTAACTATGATATGCGATGCGCATTAAGGAATTTTGCTTCACTCTTTGGATACAACACAGGCAGTTTGAACTCTCTAGCTAGCCTCTCTTTCTAACGCCCTCCCCCCTTTCCACACACCTCCTCTCAGGAACTTTCCTGGAAACGACCAACGTAACGGCAGAGCTGACGAGCGCCTTTGCATACTCCAACGAAACGGATCTTTCCCTCTTCACCACCACCACACCCTTCACCACCACTCCCACCACCACCACCACCGACACCACCACCGCCACCACAACCACCGCCACCTCTTTCTCATCTACCGATGCTCTTGCCACCACCGGAACAGCCGGGGGGGCGGCGGTGCTGTCAGAGTTGTCTCCCGATGCCACGCGCGGCACAGTGGAGTTCCGCTTCACCGCCACCACCGCCTCGGGGCCGCAGTCCTTTGTGGGGCGCCGCCGCATCGTTGCTTCCCGCCCCGTGGTGAGTGGATTTTTAGTCAACGCAATACTTCTCCGCCACCACTGCCTCGAAGCCCCATTCCTTCGTGGGGCGCCGCTGCATCGTTGCTTTCCGACCTGTGGTGAGTTAAGTCGGGCGTGCTAGCACCCAGTTATGTGTGCATTAGGAGTGCTGAGCAGCCAACCCTCTTTCTCATCTCACGATGCTCTTGCCACCACTAGAGCCACTAGAGCCACTAGAGCCACCGGAGCCACCGGAGCCACCGGAGCCACTGGAGCCACCGGAGCCACCGGAGCCACTGGAACCACTGGAGCCACTGGAGCCACCGAGGGGGCAGCGGTGGTATCGGAGCGGCTGTCCGCCCGCCTTGTTCCCTTTCATGGGTGCACACGCAGGTGTATGTGCCTTTCATGAAGGATCATCCCATGGGTGTTTGATTATCAGCTCACAACAACTGCCTTACTTTCCTCTGACCCCCCTTCCCTCTTCCCCTGCCTCCATACCTCCCCCCGCTTCCCTCCCCTCTTTGCAGGTGCAGGCACACGTGTACGGGTCCAACATGGAGGATCCCCCCAAGGGTGTTGGATTAGCCAGTAATTGCCCTTATCTCCCTAACCCCGTCTCCCTCTCCCCCTCCCCTTCAATGGTGCAGGTGCGGGCACATGTGTATGTGTCCAACATGGAGGATCGACCCATGGCTGACGTGGCAGTGACGGCACGCATCACCTACCCCAACGGCACCGACGCCTCGCACTGCTTCGTCTTCAGCGACCCGCTGCTGCAGGGGATTGACGACGTCAGCGGTGCAGGTGAGAGTGGTGCCACAAGTGGGTTGATAGCAATCACGGGGATGCGCAATATGCTCGACGCACTCTTTTGCCTTAAATGACCAACTTATGCAAGAGATTAATAATGTCAGCGTTGCACGTGAGATTACCACCTCTGCCGGTGCTGATTGTCCTCTTCTTCTCACAATACGAGTTTCTCTCTTTTTATTTCGCCACCAGCAACCAAACTGACCTCACATCCATATTTCCTCCACAACCCCAACCGGTACCTGTTTGTCAGTCGTTGGAGTCGCCGTCCTTCTTCGCATTAGGTCCTGCACCACACGAGTCACGTCATTTGTCACGTCAGCTCTCTTGCATGTCGCAACCGCAGCCGCAGCCGCTGTCGTCTCCACCCCATAATTGGCGTCGACAAAAATCCTCCTCCAAGACTTTTGTCCACACCGCACCCCACTCGAGCGTCCACAAGCTCTGGTCACGCGGCTGGATCAATCAGCTGGTGAATTAAAGCCACGACTTCGGCAGGAGCGAGGCCAACTTCAGGCACTTGGTCACTAAAATTTTGTCATTCTCTTTGTTTTTCTTTCCCTCGTTTCTCCCCTTTTTCCTTCTCCCCAGGCACCCTCCCTCCTGCCACATCAGCGGGCGTTGATTGGCTGCTCCTCGCTCTGGACTGCGCCGCGCCTGCCACTCCCACCAACTTCAAGTTCGCCAGCACCCTGCACTACGTCCTGCCTGCATCATCATCCACGTCATCATCCACTGCGACTGCCACGTCAGCACCAGCATCCGAACCAGCGCCAGTGGTTAAGAAGGTGGAGCTGACGAGTGTGCGAGTGACGGTGGTCCCTTCACCCAAGCTGCAAGTGCACTACTTTGTGCCCCGCCACGTGCAAGGAGACGACCTCACCACTCCTCAGGTGAGCATGGGGGAGTGGGCGTGGGGGATCGGCAAGTGGGGCAAATTGTGTGACTGTTTCTGGCGTCAAGGATATCAACGGTGACTTGTGCCTCTCTTTCGCATACTCACTCTCTCTCTCTCTTCCGCATGAAAAGGTGGAGGCAGCAGTGCCAGCTACGCTCGCGGCACTCTTCCACAACTCCTCGCTCCTCGCTCTTTCACTCCCTCTATCCCTCCTCCCTTTCTCCCTCCAACACCCCACAGGTTGGGTATCAGTGCCAGTCACGCTCTAACCCTCCTCTCTTTTTCCCTCCTCTCTCTCCCTAAAAAGGTGGAGGCACCAGGTCCAGTCACGCTAGCAGCACTCTCAATCCAATCACTGCCCTTTCACTCCCTCAATCCCTCCTCCCTTTCTTTCTTCTCTCCCCAACGCCCCACAGATGGAGGCACCAGTGCCAGTGACGCTAGCAGCACTCTTCCACAACTCGGGTCACGGCACAGCTGCTGCTGTCGCCACACAGTCACTGCTGCCCACCGCTGCCACCACCACCACCACCACCACCACCACTGCCGGCGCACCCGCCGCTGCTGACGTGGGCACTACTACTACAACGGGTGACACGAGCAGCGCGGCAATGAGTTTCAGCATCACCAGCACAGTGCTGGGCAATGAACCGCAGCCGGCATCGTTCTCTGTGAAGGTGTGTGCGCATTCAGATGTGAAACAAAGACGCGCATGCACATGCATCCATGAGTGAGTTTGAGCAAGACTGTTCTGGGAGAGGAGCCACAACCGGCATCCTTCTCCATGAAGGTGTGTGGCCATGCTGATGTGGACATGCTGATGTGGACATGCTGATGTGGACATGCTTATGTGGACATTCTTATGTGGACGTGCTTATGTGGACACACGCATGCATGCATACGTACACACACAGACATACACACACACACACACGCATGTGCACACACACACACACACACACACACACACACACACACACACACACACACACACACACATGCTTCACTTGCTTATTCCTACCATGACCCGTCCCTTCTTCTCAGCCCATCCCCCCTCTCTCTCTACGGTGGGAAGCATCCCTCCATCTGCTACAGCCATGGTGCGCTGGACCATAGAGGCCAGCCTCCATCTTCTCTTTCTCACCCACCCTCCTTTCCTCCATCTCTCCCCCCACCCCCTCCTCCCCTCTCCTCTTCTCCCCCAGGTGGGCAGCATCCCTCCATCTGCTACAGCCATGGTGCGCTGGACCATAGAGGCCAGCCTCCATCTTCTCTTTCTCACCCACCCTCCTTTCCTCCATCTCTCCCCCCACCCCCTCCTCCCCTCTCCTCTTCTCCCCCAGGTGGGCAGCATCCCTCCATCTGCTACAGCCATGGTGCGCTGGACCATAGAGGCCAGCCTCCATCTTCTCTTTCTCACCCACCCTCCTTTCCTCCATCTCTCCCCCCACCCCCTCCTCCCCTCTCCTCTTCTCCCCCAGGTGGGCAGCATCCCTCCATCTGCTACAGCCATGGTGCGCTGGACCATAGAGGCCAGCCTCACAGGCACATTCGATACAGTCACCACCACCAACACCACCACCTCCTCCTCCCCACTCACCGGCCTCTCCCCCATTCTCGAGTCGGTTGACATTCACAACCTCGTGCACGTCGTCTATCTGCCCGACGCTGCTTCAGGTAAGGCCCCCGCTCACAAGTGACGCTGGTTTACCGATTTCCGGTGGGGGAAAAAAGAACAAAGGAAACAGGAAAAACATGTCTGTTGTGACGCCTAAAAAAAACCATCCGTCCTGGTATCACCCGGCATCGGTGACGTTGGCCAACAGAATTTCGTGCTGTAGCGACAACAGGGATGAGCAGGGCTCGAATCGTTGCCATGTCCCCATCCCATCCCATCCCATCCCATCCCATCTAATCCCATTCTATCATATCTTTTCACTGCTTAATCCATCTGTCACCCAACCCATCCTCTCAATGTCTGACCTGTCCATTCAGACGACGGGCTGCCGGATTTCCTGGTGGACGACAATGGGGACGAGCAGCCGGAGGCCATCTACAGCAGCGCTGGTAACCGCGTGCTGCCCGTAACCGCCGTGCCTTCCGCTGCTCTCGCGCCTGGCCGCCTGCTCTTCACCAGCGAAACCCGCGCCAAGCTCACTGTCGCTGTGGACTGGTGAGTGAAGAAGTGGAGTGATGCATGGGTGCCAGTTCTGAACAATGAGTGCTTGTCCCGCAAGTTGCTGGGCTCACAAAAAAAAAAACAGGGTGCCAATTATCATATGGATACATCCCCTTTTTCCCCTTTTGTCAAGAACTCATGGTGTTGATCTCCCAACTTCAGCAACCTTTCCTCTCCAATCTTCCTCTCCCTGCCATGCTTGCAGGTCTGCCTTCCCACCAGCGGCAGCAGGAGGGTGGGCGCACATGTCATTTGCCTCGCAGCTGCCATCGCACTGCTGGAATCTCACCGCTGCTCTCCGATCCAACGGCTCTCAGCTGCCCGTGCCCTTCAACGCCTGGTCCTCCTTCTTCTCCTCCCCCGGTGCTCCCACTGGCACCGCTGCTGCCCCTGCCCCTGCCACTTCAACTTCCACCGCCCCTGCTTCTTCCCCCCCTGCTTCACTTTCTTCTGACACCACTCACATTCTCGACTTTGTCTCCTCCCCCTCCTACACTCTCTTCTTCTCTTACTTTGATCAGACCCTCTCCTTCCCCCACCTCTCCCCCTGCTTCCAGGCAGTCATGCCTCCCCCTCCCTCCCCCCCCAACCCTCCCCCTTCCCCTCCCCCTCGCCCACCCCCCCGCCCCCCTCCAAGCCCCCCTCGGCCACCTCCAAACCCCTCTCCTCCCCCCCGTCCCCCTCCAAATCCTTCTCCCCCTCCCCGCCCCCCTCCAAGCCCCCCCAAACCCCCTTCTCCTCCCCCTCGCCCTCCCCCGAACCCCCCACCAAAGCCCCCCTCACCACCACCCCCCAAACCCCCGTCTCCCCCACCTCGCCCCCCGCCCAACCCTCCCCCGAACCCACCCCCTCCGAAGCCCCCATCCCCTCCCCCTCGCCCTCCCCCACGCCCACCCCCGAGTCCCCCACGCCCGCCCCCACCCCCCAGGCCTCCTTCCCCCCCGCCTCGCCCTCCCCCACGCCCGCCCCCAAGTCCCCCACGTCCGCCCCCACCCCCCAGGCCTCCTTCCCCCCCGCCTCGCCCTCCCCCACGCCCGCCCCCAAGTCCTCCACGCCCGCCCCCACCCCCCAGGCCTCCTTCCCCCCCGCCTCGCCCTCCCCCCCGCCCTCCCCCAAGCCCGCCCAAGGTTGTCTAGGACGCTCCGCTTACATCGCCACGTCCATTGGCAAAGGCATCTGGGCTATGGCGTTTGCTGAGAGTCACAAATTCAGATGTGTGACTCACCTCACGTTGAAGCGGCTTTTGAGTCGGGCAACACTATGGATGGATGAGGGGCCTTGGTGTTGGCTCTTACCCTTTTGCTCTGTCACCCTGACTTGGACTCCTGAGTTGTGGCATGCCATGTGACCAGGGCCTCAGAAGTCAGCGGAAAAAGGCTGATTTAGGGTCTGGACGCTGATTTCCCAGACATATGGCTGATGTGTTGGCTGATAATTCAGTTTTTTTTTAATTGTGTTGGCTGATTCTTCAGGTTTTTTTTTTAAGTATTGGCTGATTTTCCAGCGTTTTTTTACAAGTGTCCGCTGATTGATCAGACTTGTAACGAGAGTGTAGGCTGAACTCACGCTATTACAGATTCGTGCCGGAGCCGTGTTTTTCGGCTGTCCAGGTACATCCACCGTCAATCACGCAAAAGTAGCCACGTACAGCGCCGACGCGGCGGGAAAACGAATTTCCCCGACGAGTCGGTTGCTTCATTGTCACCGACAGAATGCTTCAATTGATGTGATTGGTTGTTTAACCAATCACATCCCTTATGCGCCATTCACCAACCACCAGGGCAGCACAGCACAGCACCTGCTAAACTTAATGAACAAAGTGCTTTAACATAGATCAGCCTGCATTTTTTAGTGAGGCTGATTAGTCAGCGTTTTTTTAGGTGACTTGTCTGAAAAATCAGAATTTTTTTTTGAACCAACTCTGATTGATCAGCCTAGCGTAGCCTGCTAAGGCTGACGTCTCAGCCAAGCTAAAAACGAATCTGAGGCCCTGCATGTGACCTTGCCTGCTTGCTTGCTTTAGATACCCATTAGGGGTTGCCATGCCATGATCCACAATCATGCAATGCTGTCTTTCTTTTGAACCTTGATACATGGAAAGGTGGTGGAAAAAGTCCAACCCCCCCCAAAAGCCACCCCTTCCCCTCAAAAGCTCAAATGGTGAACTGTATGAAAACAGGTGTACATGATGAGAGCAGATTTGGTAATGAATAGGAAAGAGGCAACACAGTACAGTAGAGGCGGTGCGGTGGGAAAACCCCTCCATGCCCCCCCCCAAAGTCCCCCTAAGGCGCCCCTACCCCCCAAATCCCCTCACACCCCCTCACAGCCCCCCTCACAGAACAGAACCCCCTGACATTGCCCCACACCCTCACCACACCACGCACATCCCTGGGATGGGAACGCCAGGCCCGACCAACCGTTCCTCTGGCTTCTGTTTCACCCACTCCCTATTTGCAAACTTTGCCCTCTTTATCTGTAGGAAAAAGGAGTTTTAGAAAGTCGCTGCGTTGCTCGTTGCCTGTGTGTGCCTGTGCGTGTCACCTGCTCTTCCGCCCCTGTCCCTGTTTCTCTTGCTCTTCTGCCCCTATCTCTCTCCTGTTTCTTCCTCTTTCTTCTGTTTCTCTTCCTGCTTCTGTTTCTGCCTGGCCTGACCTCCCCTGGTCTGGGCCTTACCTCCCCGGGTCGCCCCGGACCTCTCCGAACCGAATGAACCAGGCCCCGACCCGACAGGCTTGCATGGGCCGGAGATCAAACCGACATCCTTCCCTTCCCCCCCGGGCCTAGCCCAAACCTCCCGACACCCCTTATGTCAACACACGCAGACAAGTACAAACGCTCTCCTATTTTTATGTTCCTACACTAATTAATACCCTACGCATGTGCTTACTTGCTATGTCTTGGCGGCAAGAGAGTGTCTCTTCACAGCGCCCCGCAGGAGAGAAGAGAACACCTGTGTAAGGATGGGTGGGGTGGGGTGGGACAGCAGGATGGCAGGTGTGACGGGATGGCACATGGTTTAGCAATTGTGGCAGAGGTGAGTGCAGGGGAGCAGTGGGGGAAGGGTGAATACAAGGGATAAGTGGGGGATGGTGAGTGTGGGAAGCGGAGGGTGAACAGTGGGGAATGGGGAAACCGTAGCGTGAACAGTGGGGGATGAGGAGCAAGGGCGGAATGAGGAGCAACAGCGGAACGAGGAGCAAGGGCGGAACGAGGAGCAAGGGCGGAACAAGGAGCAAGGGCGGAACAAGGAGCAAGGGAGGAACAAGGAGCAAGGGCGGAACGAGGAGCAAGGGCGGAATGAGGAGCAAGGGCGGATTGAGCAAGGGCGGAATTAGGAGAAAGGGCAGAGGGTGAACAGTGGGGGATGGTGAGTGTGGGAAGCGGAGGGTGAATAGTGGGGAGTGGGGATACAGTAGCGTGAACAGTGGGGGATGAGGAGCAAGGGTGGAATGAGGAGCAAGGGCGGATTGAGGAGAAAGGCGGAACGAGGAGCAAGGGCGGAACGAGGAGCAAGGGCGGAATGAGGAGCAAGGGTGGAACGAGGAGCAAGGGCGGAATGAGGAGCAAGGGTGGAACGAGGAGCAAGGGCGGAACGAGGAGCAAGGGCAGAGCGAGGAGCAAGGGCGGAACGAGGGGCAAGGGCAGAACGAGGAGGAAGGGCGGAACGAGGAGCAATGAATGGTTGTCAGTTTTAATTAGTGAGTGTTTGTCCTGCAAATTGCTGGGCTCACTGTACAGAACGGACGCCGACCATCATTAGGAAGTTCATAAGTGCCTTTGTCAAGAACTCATCGTGGTGTTAATTTTCCTGAACCAACAACTCATCCTCTTCCATCCCCACCTGCCATGTGCATGGCCATAATTGCAGGTCTGCCCTCGCAGTACCGGCGGCAGCAGGGAGGTGGGCACACATGTCATTTGCATCGCAGCTGCCATCGCACTGCTGGAATCTCACCGCTGCTTTCCGATCCAACGGCTCTCAGCTGCCCGTGCCCTTCAACGCCTGGTCCTCCTTCTCCTCCTCCCCCTCCACTCCCACTGCCACCGCTGCTGCCCCTGCCCCTGCCACTTCAACCACCACTGCCCCTGCTTCTCCTACTACTGACACCACTCACATTCTCGACTTTGTCTCCTCCCCCTCCTACACTCTCTTCTTCTCTTACTTTGACCAGACCCTCTCCTTCCCCCACCTCTCCCCCTGCTTCCAGGCAGTCATGCCCCCCCCTCCCCCCCCCCCCCAATCCTCCCCCTTCCCCTCCCCCTCGCCCGCCCCCCCCGCCCCCCTCCAAGCTCCCCAAGGCCTCCCCCGAACCCATCTCCTCCCCCGCGCCCCCCCCCCAATCCTTCTCCCCCTCCCCGCCCCCCTCCAAGCCCCCCGAAACCCCCTTCTGCTCCCCCTCGCCCTCCCCCGAACCCCCCGCCAAAACAACCCTCACCACCACCCCCAAGCCCCCGTCTCCCCCACCCCGTCCCCCACCAAGCCCTCCCCCAAACCCACCTCCCCCCAAGCCCCCATCCCCTCCCCCTCGCCCTCCCCCACGCCCACCCCCAAGTCCCCCACTCCCGCCCCCACCTCCCAGGCCTCCTTCCCTACCTCCTCGCCCTCCCCCCCGTCCTCCCCCAAGCCCCCCCAAGGTTGTCTAGGAGGATCCGCTTACATAGCCACGCCCATTGGCAAAGGCATCCGGCTATGGCGTTTGCTGAGAGTCACAAATCCAGATGTGTGACTCGCCTCACGTTGAAGCGGCTTTTGAGTCGGGCAACACTATGGATGGATGAGGGGCCTTGGTGTTGGCTCTTACTCTTTTGCTTGGTCACCCTGACTTGGACTCCTGAGTTGTTGTGTGCCTGTGTTTGTTCCTTCTGCTGGCATGTCATGCCACCTTACTTGCTGGCTTGCTTTCGATACCGAACAGGAGCATACACAAGCATGCATTGCTTGCTTTTTTTTTAACCTCTTGCTGTGCTTAATCAGTATGACTTTGAATCCATTCCTGTGTGTGCACCTGGATTCTGGATGCTACGGTATAATGTGGTATCTTGCTTGTTTGCGTGAAGATGAACCAATCATAACAAAGAGGATCGACATGTAACAAAGTATGTCAACCTCCCTTGTTCTGCATCAAACAAACAGGTAGCTTTGAGCGTTTTTTATAAGCCCAATTTGCTAGCTGCTATGTTGACGAATCCGTGCGAAATGCAGTGCCCGTATGTAAACTGTACTGCACATCAGGTGTACTGTGCGGTTTGGGACCTTTTGGTCTCCTTTCGGATGGTTCTCAGACCCAGACGCAAGTTGGGGTATTTTCTGTCCTGATCAGACTTTGAATGTGAATCATACATTGGTGCTGTTCGCCAGTAAATCGTAATTTGAAATGAAAAATATGGCATCGGCATCGCGACCACATTGGAAACGGAGGCGGAACCCACCTCCAAGGTTTGGGCGTGATGCCACTCGAGAAACTTCTGCGCCCGAAAGGCGAAATTACGCAACCGCATGAAGAACCTCCGTCCCCACCTTCCCCCCATTGGCGCGAACTTTTAGCTTCACTGACCATAGCCTGCCGGCGGGCCAAAAAGTGCTCAACGTGGGAAAAAAATGCAAATAAAACCCAACCCTGGTCAAATACAACCCCCGCCACCTCGTGCACATGCCCAGTCACAATTCGAAGGCATGTTCGGGAGGGGAAAAATGGGGAGTATACGAACCCCCATTTGTCAAACACATGGCTCGTTCAAAAGGTTCCCCTCTGAACGGCAATGCATCGGCTGTGCCATCGCTGTCCTCTGAAAAACGGGGGATGGCGATGGCATAGCTTGGGGTGGGAATTTTGCCTGGGGACGAAGTTGCGGCCCCGCTTCCATATGCCGTCGAGCAGTTCGATTTGATCGACAAATGGGGGCGTTCGCCAGACCCCCACTTTGGTTTTTTGGTTTGGACGGTAGGGGAGGCTCGGCATCTTTTTTACGGGCTGACCAGGCTGACGGAGGTAAACGAACCCTAACTAACCCTTCCTGATCCTGTCGGTATCTCGTGGGTTTTGGCTTCAAAGGTGCTGGCGAACAGCACCATTGCTCTCATTCATTTCCAGGTCCAGTCCGAATTTCTAAAATAGAAAATCAGACTTCAGGGCTTTCCAGCGTCTGTGATTTGACTGACCTGATCAGACTTTGAATGCGAACCACACAGTGCGTCTGTCATTTTCAGGTCCAGCATCTGATGGCCTAAGTGGTGGTTTTGCTCCGGTTCGTAGCTGACTTTTGCCCTCCTGCGTGGCAGCCGAAGAGCAAACGAGCGGACAACCCCAATGTTTGGGGAATTCCTCTTTTTCCAAGCAGCTCTGGCGTTCTGTTTTTTGGGTTGAACAAAGCTGTAACCCGCAGTCGGACTGCTGCACCAGGGACGAAGCTGCCGTGGTCGGGTGGCAAAATGGAGATTCGAGTCAATCGGGCCTGTGTGCCGTTTTTTAATCGATGTAGGACGTGGTTCAGAATTGGCAAACCGGGTGCATCCCGGGCATAGCCCGGATTCATTAGGACTGAGTTTGGGCCCAGCCTGGATTTCCCGTACACGTCCTCCCACTCTCCTTTCCCCCTCCTCCCCCCTCACCTTCTGGTATGCTTTCGAATTATCTGCGATTGCTTTCACACGAATCAAAGTTCGATAATTCGTCGAAGAGTCTCTGATTTGCAAAAATTCGTCCTCATTGGCCAGTTCTGGTGACGGGTAACTACGCAAATGCGGCGGCAGCCCAGCTTATGACGGGTTACCAGTATGACAAATGAGTTCTGATTGGCCAAATGAGCGCCAATGATGCTCAGCACTACGCAATGATTGGATGTCTTCAGGATCTTTAACCCGTTATGGTTTGGCCGTTACTGTTATTATACATTTTGTTGGGCTCGAGTGACTGACATAACTTCCTTGGAAGTCAATCCAACCCCTCTCCTCCCCCTGAGCGACTGACGCGACTTTCTTGTAGCATTCACAAGCTAGTAATACGGGCTGAATCTAGGATACCTCAGTACAGTAAGTTCTGAGCTTAGGACTTGCGACGGCCATGCATGGGACCTTCGTGCCATGCGAGCGTTTAGGAAACACAAGCTTGGAAAGAGGTCGAGCTTGCAAACAGAGAGACTTTGGAGGCTGTACTGCCGTGGTGCATGGGGGGATTTCATGGGAGTGAGCCATCTTGTAGCGAGTGAGCCGTCTTGTAGCGTGTTTGTAGTTTTTTTACTCCTTGAAGGAGTATTACTGCAGACAGTTGACGACCTGAGGCTCACCTATGGAGATTGGGATCCCCAAGGTCACTACAAGTGACCTGTCCCTGACCCGATGGTTTCCCTTGGGTCACTACTAGCACCATGTTGTGACCCTGTGGTTACTTTTATGTTAGTGTTTTTTTCTGGAAAACGGACCCCCTGACTCGAAGTTGACCCCACACGTAGCATGCACACAGGGGGAAAAGCAATTTCCACGGTAATAATCTAGCGGTCTGAATCAGTCATGCTACCAGGCCACTGCATCTGGAGTACCAATCATCCCCTTTCATATCTCTCTCATACGATTCAGTAGTAGAATAGAATCCCTGGACCAAGCCTCACTACATCACAAAAACCCCTCGTTTTTGAATCGCTTGGAAACGGGCCGAATTGGTTTCGGAAGTTGGGTTGCGTGGGTTGTCCAACTTTTTTTCGCCCAACCACCAGCGTAAATGTGTCATTCTCAATTTTCGATCTGCTTTCGCGCATCCGAACCGACTCGCGAGACATTGTGCGCCTCGGCGAAGCGAAATTGGCCCAATTTCGGTCAATGTCAGGTGTACAGTGCTCTTTTGACCAGGTTGAAAAAGCAGTTTCGAGAATGGGGTGCATTGGTTTCCCGCAAATATTTCTGGGTCACCGAGCCACAGCTTTGCTTGGCGCACGACCAGACGTGGCGATAGGGTGCGTTTGGGCCCTGCAAAAATGATCTCGCATAGGAGTAATTATGGACCAAGATGAGACTACAGTGTTTCTTTCAAACAAATTTTACATCAAGTCAAAGTTATGTCTTATAATATTGAAAGGTTGCTGGTTAAACAATCACATGTGCATGTACATATATAACCTGTAAAGTCATAAGTTGTTATTGCATGTAATCTTGCCTCTTAATACAAAACAGGTTTGGTTGCCTATGAAAAAGTACAGTTGCGCGTAGGATTTATATCTAATTTAGCAGGTACTTGTTAAGATAGAATGCATTGTCGCTGTGGTAAGACTTGATAATGTGCACCTGGCGCAGTATGCTTTCAGTGTCAATCACTGAGTAGCGCGATACCCCAGTTGCCCACCTAAGACGTTTGCACCCTGTTTTTGCATCCTCGCCTGCTCTTGACCAGTACTTCACATATGCCCACTCCTTCGTGCACCCTCTCTCTTTCGTATGGAACAGCAACAAGAGCCTTCCGTACCACTCTGTCTCTGCACCTGTCGCTGTTGTTCCCACGATGGCAACATCAGAGAACCACGGCCTAGAGTGAGATAGTGAGGTTGCTTTCACGAAATGTGCTACACGGGCGAAACTCGCATCTTCTGCAGCAGGGATGGCAAGTGTTGTGTGAGCCTGCAACCAGTAAGAGACACAAATCAGTAAAAAGTAACATTCAGTTACATATGGTATCTGCTTGATGTCACCATTGTCACCACTTACACGAACTTTCGTTGGCCTCAGCTGGCGTCGAAGCAATGCACCCGCAAAGGCATGGTGTGCCTCGCTGTGGAGCTTCGCCCACTCACGGACAAACCAGTTGGCAATGGGAGTGACGTCATCGGGTTTCACGTGGAAGAAGTAGGACTCCTTCACCATCACCCGAGCTCCATCCTCGATGGCCTGACACGTGTCAGAAAAGGCAGAGATTGGAAAACAATATCAGAATCGCAGCAACCAGCAGCAACGAGCACACCATTCTCCCCCTTCGTTTGCTCCCCTCCCTGCCCTGCACTTCCTCTTTCACTGCCCCCTCCCCTGCCTTGAGCTAACTCTTCCCCTGCTACCCACCAAGGACCTGCCGGCAAACTTTCCATGCCACCCAGCCCGAGCTGTCCCGCCAGGCACTCCTACCCCCCCGCACTCACCATCTCAGCACTCACCCTCCCATCACCGCACTCACCATCTCAGCACTCACCCTCCCATCACCGCACTCACCATCTCAGCACTCACCCTCCCATCACCGCACTCACCATCTCAGCACTCACCCTCCCATCACCGCACTCACCATCTCAGCACTCACCCTCCCATCACCGCACTCACCATCTCAGCACTCACCCTCCCATCACTGCACTCACCATCTCAGCACTCACCCTCCCATCTCAGCACTCACCCTCCCCTCACATCACAGCACTCACCATCTCAGCACCTCCCCTCACAGCACTCACCATCTCAGCACCTCCCCTCACAGCACTCACCATCTCAGCGCCTCCCCTCACATCACTCACCATCTCAGCACCTCCCCTCACAGCACTCACCATCTCAGCACCTCCCCTCACAGCACTCACCATCTCAGCGCCTCCCCTCACAGCACTCACCATCTCAGCACCTCCCCTCACAGCACTCACCATCTCAGCACCTCCCCTCACAGCACTCACCATCTCAGCGCCTCCCCTCACAGCACTCACCATCTCAGCACCTCCCCTCACAGCACTCACCATCTCAGCACCTCCCCTCACAGCACTCACCATCTCAGCACCTTCCCTCACAGCACTCACCATCTCAGCACCTCCCCTCACAGCACTCACCATCTCAGCACCTCCCCTCACAGCACTCACCATCTCAGCGCCTCCCCTCACATCACTCACCATCTCAGCACCTCCCCTCACAGCACTCACCATCTCAGCACCTCCCCTCACAGCACTCACCATCTCAGCGCCTCCCCTCACAGCACTCACCATCTCAGCACCTCCCCTCACAGCACTCACCATCTCAGCACCTCCCCTCACAGCACTCACCATCTCAGCGCCTCCCCTCACAGCACTCACCATCTCAGCACCTCCCCTCACAGCACTCACCATCTCAGCACCTCCCCTCACAGCACTCACCATCTCAGCACCTCCCCTCACAGCACTCACCATCTCAGCACCTCCCCTCACAGCACTCACCATCTCAGCGCCTCCCCTCACAGCACTCACCATCTCAGCACCTCCCCTCACAGCACTCACCATCTCAGCACCTCCCCTCACAGCACTCACCATCTCAGCGCCTCCCCTCACAGCACTCACCATCTCAGCGCCTCCCCTCACAGCACTCACCATCTCAGCACCTCCCCTCACAGCACTCACCATCTCAGCACCTCCCCTCACAGCACTCACCATCTCAGCGCCTCCCCTCACAGCACTCACCATCTCAGCACCTCCCCTCACAACACTCACCATCTCAGCACCTCCCCTCACAGCACTCACCATCTCAGCGCCTCCCCTCACAGCACTCACCATCTCAGCACCTCCCCTCACAGCACTCACCATCTCAGCACCTCCCCTCACAGCACTCACCATCTCAGCACCTCCCCTCACAGCACTCACCATCTCAGCACCTCCCCTCACAGCACTCACCATCTCAGCGCCTCCCCTCACAGCACTCACCATCTCAGCACCTCCCCTCACAGCACTCACCATCTCAGCACCTCCCCTCACAGCACTCACCATCTCAGCACCTCCCCTCACAGCACTCACCATCTCAGCGCCTCCCCTCACAGCACTCACCATCTCAGCACCTCCCCTCACAGCACTCACCATCTCAGCACCTCCCCTCACAGCACTCACCATCTCAGCGCCTCCCCTCACAGCACTCACCATCTCAGCACCTCCCCTCACAGCACTCACCATCTCAGCACCTCCCCTCACAGCACTCACCATCTCAGCGCCTCCCCTCACAGCACTCACCATCTCAGCACCTCCCCTCACAGCACTCACCATCTCAGCACCTCCCCTCACAGCACTCACCATCTCAGCACCTCCCCTCACAGCACTCACCATCTCAGCGCCTCCCCTCACAGCACTCACCATCTCAGCACCTCCCCTCACAGCACTCACCATCTCAGCACCTCCCCTCACAGCACTCACCATCTCAGCGCCTCCCCTCACAGCACTCACCATCTCAGCACCTCCCCTCACAGCACTCACCATCTCAGCACCTCCCCTCACCGCACTCACCATCTCAGCACCTCCCCTCACCGCACTCACCATCTCAGCACCTCCCCTCACAGCACTCACCATCTCAGCACCTCCCCTCACCGCACTCACCATCTCAGCACCTCCCCTCACCGCACTCACCATCTCAGCACCTCCCCTCACAGCACTCACCATCTCAGCACCTCCCCTCACAGCACTCACCATCTCAGCGCCTCCCCTCACAGCACTCACCATCTCAGCACCTCCCCTCACAGCACTCACCATCTCAGCGCCTCCCCTCACAGCACTCACCATCTCAGCACCTCCCCTCACAGCACTCACCATCTCAGCACCTCCCCTCACAGCACTCACCATCTCAGCGCCTCCCCTCACAGCACTCACCATCTCAGCACCTCCCCTCACCGCACTCACCATCTCAGCGCCTCCCCTCACAGCACCTACCTTTTGCATAGCCGTTTGCACGCCTTGGTCGGTGGCCACGTTGCTGATGGAGTCAAGCTTCATCTCGTGGTGCTTCATGATCTGCGTGTCCACTTTCCGCTTATTCGATCTCCTGTAGATTTGCTTCAGCAGGGTGCTATGCAGGTGTTCGAAGAGGTTGGTGCTGTACTCTTGCACATTCCCAGCTCGTCGAATGCCAGGGATGAAATGAGTCATCAAGTGTGTTTTGATGAGGTTCCACCTTGATTTCTGCTCGGGGAAGGCAGCCGTGAGTAGTTTCACCAGCCTGGGATGGGTGGGAGCATGAATAAATGAAGGAGTATATGGATGAGCGTACAATTTGTAAGGGACGGAATCACTAGGGGAGTTAGATGGTTTAGGTTGTATCGTTTGGTGAGGTACCTTGTTGATTTGGCTTGTAGTTCGGAAAGACTTCTCTCGGTGTGAGAGGCGGCGTTGCAGCAGAGATACCAGTCAAGGTATGCTCTGATGGCCTCCAGCTGGGGCGAGCTGACAACGTCAGCCACCAAAAAGATCAACACCTGGATGCATGCAGCATGGTGAGTACGAAAGGTGAGAGAAAAGATTGAAGGATCTTCTTCCCATGAATGACTTCAAGCGAGTTTACAGACGAGCTTGACAACAGACCGACACATCACTACATTTGCATGAACCAACATAGCGGTGCCCTCTCTACCAGCCCATCTTCTCTCCCCTTCCTCTTCCGTCCCTGCCCAGCTCGCCCCACTCTTCCCACCCTCCCCTTCCATCACTCCATGGCTTAGGCCTCAAAGCATCATACCTGCATGACCGATCGATGTTCAAAAGCTGCGACTTGTGCCCCGGTTTTGAAGTATTCGCTCCTCGGAAAACGCAAAGAGTTGATCCGTTTTTTCAGGGTGAGCTGTAGAAGACGCCTACATATGGTGGGATGGAAAGATTTCGGATATGGGGGGCGGCAGATCAGGATGGAATAAAGTTGAGCTGACACACTACCATGTGCTCACAAATGTGAGCTTGACATGCCAACATTGTAACCATGGTTTATTGAATAGAGCATCGTGCATGTCCAGGCGGGTGGTCCAAGGGGCACTCACAAATCCAGAATTTTCATCATCGTTGGGTGTTGGGCGCGGATGCATTGCACGATGTGGTCCAGCATCCCCAGGTCTGCCTGGTGCATGATGTCCGGCATGACAGCTAGGATTGGATTTCCCCACGGCAATGAACCAACCTGCCACTTCCATAAAGCACACTGTGCAGGTGGTACAGCGCAGCAGGGAATGCGATGGTTAGGGAAACACACGACACCAATAGACACCAGAGGTTGCTGTGTCTATGAGCCTACTGGGCGACTCCAGCTGGCATGGGATCATGTACCTACTGCACTCAATTGGGTCTTGTGCCTGTCTTGCCTCAATTGCTCACCTCTTGACCTTGCTTGTACTGTTACATATATATATATACCTGCTCTTGCTTGTCTAGCCTTATATATATATGTACTCCTGCATGTGAACTGGCCTTGTGGCCTTGTACTTGTGCTCGGAATGTGTGGTGACTTTGTGATCCACCCTGAGCTTTGCTTTGTTTTGCTTTGCTTGACTGGTCTTATGACCCCCTGTTCTCCCCCACTTGAGATCGTGTGCATGTCATCAGGTACATGAGGCAGCCAACAAGCTCTGGATACGGGCCACTCGACTCTACGGACTCATCCGAAGGCAGAGCTGAGAGCGAGTGGCGAGTAGGCAGAGGAGTGGCCTGAGGCGAGGAGTACGTGAAGCCGAAGCGCTGAAGGACCTGCTGCATCATGTGTGACTGAGTCAGGGTAATGGTGCGGCGTGCTCTGTCCCGGGTGATCTGCAAGCCAAGATAGCTGCGCAGTTCACCCAGGTCTGTGCACATGTGTCTCTTCTGCAGCTCGCAGTTCACGTAGGCGAGTCCAGCAGTGTCAGCTGTGGCAAAGACCAAGTCGTCGACGTACACGAGGATGTAGAACGGCGGCAGAGAGGTGTCGGTGCGTAGAAACAGCGACGGGTCGGCAGTAGAAGGAGCAAACCCAAGAGCCGCAAGCGTAGTCCTCAGTGTGTCGTGCCACTCACGTGGCGCCTGGCGGAGACTATAAACTGGACGCCGGAGGCTCCATTGGGTACCAGGAGGGAACGACCCAGTGAAGCTAGGTGGGCGGCGCAGCCAGATCTCCTCGTGCAAGCTGCCCTGCAAGAAAGCTGTGCTAAAGTCGAGAGAGTGCAGCTCGTAGTCACGGTGAGCAGCAACGTGCAGCAGTACCCGAAGAGTGGTCATCTTCGGGGTGGGAGAGAAGGTCTGAAAGTAGTCAACTCCCTGCCGCTGACTGAAGCCACGAGCCACGTAACGTGCCTTGAAGACAGGCGGAGAACCCGGCGGCCGCTTCACTCTGAAGATCCACATGCCACTGACGATGTTCGCCCCAAGCGGGGGAACCTCGTCAACGTAGGTGCCTGTGGACTTCCAGGAAGCCATCTCTGTGTCCATAGCTGCCTGCCACTGAGAGGAGTAGGGACCCTCTATCGCCTCCGCGTAGGAGCGCGGAGTCGGGATGTCAAGTGCATCCGGGTCTCCCTCAAGGGTAAGCAGTACGGACACGAGATGAGGTGAATGTCAAACATTATATATGTTGTGTTAGTTTAGGCTACAGTGGGTTAGCCTATAGGGGGTACACAATTCTAGGGTTAGGTACTTGTACTCATTTCACTGCTAGTTGATTCATTCCTGTTCAGTGATTCCAACATAGTATAGAGCAGGTCCTTCCTAGGACCGAAATTTTCTAAGGGCCCACCACTACGTAACTACCTACCTACCTACCTACCTGTGCCCTAGGGCGCCTCGGCATGTCACGCCCCTAGAGGCCCCTCTTGACGGCCCCGCGCTAGCCCCGTTCAGGCCCCGTCGGCCCCACGCCCGCTCTCCCTAGCGGCCCCGTTCAGGCCCCGCCGGCCCCGTTTCAGGCCCCGTCGGCCCCGCGCTAGCCCCGTTTCAGGCCCCGTCGGCCCCGTTTCAGGCCCTGTCGACCCCGCGCTAGCCCCTCTTAGGCCCCGTCGGCCCGCGCTAGCCCCGTTTCAGGCCCCGTTGGCCCCGTTTCAGGCCCCGTCGGCCCCGCGCTAGCCCCTCTCAGGCCCCGTCGGCCTGCGCTAGCCCTGTTTCAGGCCTCGTCGGCCCCGCGCTAGCCCCTCTCAGGCCTCGTTGGCCCCGCGCTAGCCCCATTCAGGCCCCGATCGGGCCCGCGCTAGCCCCGTTTCAGGCCTCGTCGGCCCCATTTCAGGCCCCGTCGGCCCCGCGCTAGGCCCGTTCAGGCCCCGTCGGCCCCTTGCTAGCCCCGTTTGGCCCCGCGCTAGCCCCGCTCAGGCCCCGATCGGCCCCGCGCTCGCCCCTCTAGGGCCCCAACCGGCCCCGTGCCGACCTCGCCGACCCGTGCCCACCACCTAGAGGCCCCGGGCGGCCCGTTCCCGCCGCAGCACACGAGGGAGAGCGGGCGGCCCGTCCCCGCCGTGACCCAAGCCGCGCGACCCGAGCCGCGCGCCCTGAGCCGAGCCGCGCGCCCCGAGCCGAGCCGCGCCCCCCAGCCGAGCCGCGACCCGACCTGAACCGAGCCGCGCCGCTTTGCCCTACCTGGTTCGTCCTACCTGCTTCTCCTACTGCTACTGCTGCTATTTCTACTGTTCCTATGGCTAGCCCACAGGTTCTCGTGTTCGATGCTGAGGGCCGCCCTGTGAAGTTTGACACCTGGCTCGATGACCTGCACCTCTACCTACAGCTCACAGCCAAGGATGACATCTCACTGTACGATCACGCCCTAGGCCATGTCACTGCCCCTGCTGCTACTGCTGACAGCACTGCTCGCTCACAGTGGCAGACTCGTGATGCCCACGCTCGCTTCGCCATTCGCAACTCCCTGCCGATAGACGAACGCGAGCACTTTGGTCAGCACAAGACTGCACAGGCACTGTACACAGCTGTAGTTGCTCGCTACTCCTCACCTGCCTCTGCCGCACTAGGCCGTCTCTCCCTCCCCTACCTGTTTCCCGACCTGGCCTCCTTTCACACAGTCGCTGACCTCATCACGCACCTCCGTACTAGTGAGGCCCGCTTCCGTGCCGCCATGCCTGCTGAGTTCCTTGCCACGCACCCCCCTCCACTCTGGCTCACTCTCTACCACCTAGTCACCCGCCTCCCTGACACACTGCGTGCTGTCAGGGACCACTTCCTAGCTCGTTGCCCCACTGAGCTCACCATTGCCCTCCTCGAGAAGGAGCTACTTGCAGCTGAGACTAGCATAGTCGCTGTAGGTGCCTCTCGTGGCGACCCCCGTACCCCGTTCTTTGAGGGGTGTTCTCCTTCCCCCTTTCTTCCCTCTGTCGCCTGTGCTGCTGCTGTCGACCTTCTTGGTGCTGAGAAGGTCGGCGCTGCGTCTGCCTCGAGCGGACGCCACAGCGGCAAGGGCAAAGGGGGCAAGGGTGGTGGCGGTGACGGCGGGGGAGGCGGCGGTGGGGGCGGTGGAGGCAGTGGGGGTGGTGGCTCGGCTGGAGGGGCGAGTGGTAGCGGTGGGGGTGGTGGCGGCAGCGGCGGGGGAGGTGGCAGGAGTGGAGGCGGCGGTTGGGGTGGCGGTGGACGAGGCGGCGGCAGGGGTTGGGGTGGTCGAGGAGGTGGCAGCGGTGGTGGTGGCCGTGGAGGCACTGGCGGTGGCCAGGGGCAGCAGCACACTCCCTCACCCCAGGAGGTCCGTGAGTGGTACTCTCAGCACGGGGGTGGGGGTGGTCTTAGCTGCACGTACGTCATTCGCACTGGTGACCGCACTGGTCAGCAGTGTGGACGACCGCACGCCACACAGCGCTGCTTCTCTCGTCTCGACGACGCTTGGCGTGTTCAGTTCCCTGAGGCCACTGAGCTGCCCCGCTGGCTTGATCTCCTGAAGAAGGGGATTGATATCTATGCTCTAGACTTTGATGCTATTCTATCTGCCATGTATGTGATGT